ATATATAGATCAATAGTACAATATAACCCGACGTATACATTAAGTCGATAAGTTGTATTTTGGCACAGAGAAAGATGTTACACCGTCGTTAGTTTTTCAGTTTGATTTACAGACAATTAATACATATGGATGTGCGTAAAATATGTACTGATTTATGTATATAGTAGAATATAATCTGACAAAATTCACCGAATATAGCATAGAACAAAGTTGGATCGAGTACTTGCATTCCACATGGTCCTAATAGTAATCAAACGGGAGTCGAACTTGAAAAGAAACAAAATTAGGGTTTTGTAGGGAGAAGTGGGGGAAGTGAAGGGTCACCCAAAAGTTTTCAATGTTTGTATATTTTTGTGACTGTTTTTTCATATAACAAAAATCTTTCTTGTGTGGCTCAAAAGGCTATACCATTAATTCATCGACTTCTTTTTTTTTTTTTTTTTTTTTTTTTGTGTTTTTTAAACGAGAGACTTTGAAAAGATACGAAGGTGATAAACACGTCATACACGAATGTTTGTTTGCGCTCGTGATTCTTATGGTTCGGCAAATATAATGTAATTATGTAATATAATATAATCTTTTTTTTTGTCGAAATAATAAAATCAAGTGAGGTATTCGACCAATTAATTGTATAAGTTAAATGGTTCAATATAGAGTGAAATTCAATTGATCTTGAAAATGTTACATTCGATAAAATATATTAATTGATTTTGCATTGTATAATTACATATAATTACGCAATTTGGTGCACTATCACTCATTCTTTTAAATTTAAACAAACAAAAGCTAATCCGATCATAAATATTGATTACATTTTTGTGAACGGGTGATTATGAATACTAATTACATGAAGTTTTTAATTAATCATGTCAAAAGAGAGCTAAAATAAAATAAAAATAAAATGAATCACTGAGCTCAATTATTTATCTCCATGATCGAACTCTCTTTTATATAATTGAAAAAAGAAAATGCATACTTTTGAATTTTAGAATATCCAAACCAGTCTTCATCAAATACTTTTAATTAGCTTTTATTTTTATTTTTTATGCGATGTATTCATGCATTATTATCGAATGCCACAAGTTTTTTTTTTTTTTTTTAATTATTTTTATTTCTTTCGTTTTCCTACTTTTGGTCATTTGTCTTGTATAATTAAAGCTTAAATATATTGTCTTCATGCATATTGATTTCATTAAATAAAAGCACCTCGTTGCTTTCAAAATAATATTGGTCAAAAGTTTCATAGCAATTCTAGTTATCTTGTAATTGGAATAATAATAATAATCATAATAATAATCGTAAGACTATTTGTCATATTAACTAGCAAGATTACTATTTTCCATGGTGATTTACGTCTCTCGTATTGTTTGCAAATTATTATACGGGAATGTAGGTTTACTCAATGCACCTATACAAGTGGCTGCGAGTTCCGTTATTAAAAAGAAATTACTATTTTCTTGAAATATCTAAAAAAAGGGTAGGAAAGTGGATAAAGAATGTGAACTAGTTTAGAAGATAAGCATATTATGAATGAATGAATATGTGATGAGTCAAAAGTCACACACAAAATAAAACACTTATCAATTTGTTTTAAGCCACAAAAAGTGTTGGCCACAATTGAAGCCTCTATAATAATAATTCATTGTCATATATAAATTATAATAATAAGGTTTTAGTGAAGTATGACTCGTTTCCATTTTCCTCACTCAATTCATTTAATAAAGGCAAAATGATTGCTTCCAAGGGTATTATGGACCATTAATTCCTTATTACTTTTTTTTTTTTTTTTTTGCCAATAAAGAAAAGGTTAAAAAGTAGTGTGACGTTTAAGGGATTGTTTGGTTAGAGGAATGTGAAACAAAATCTCCAATTTGCGCCTGTTTCGAAAAAAAATTGGAACTTTTTTTTCGTTCTGATTTCCAAAATTCTGATTTTCCGATTGGAGTTGTATTTTTGAGTGGGCTAAAGTAAATAATAATTGGGCCTATGGAATGCATATTGAAATGTAATCTATTTATAAGTCCAGGCCCATGCAAATATATGTTAGATATTGAGGCATGATAAGTATTTAGATGGGCATACATGTCACAAGTTTTCCGAAACTCCGCTTATAACGATTCTTCATAAACTCACGAAAAAAATTAGAAATTTTCCGAAAAATTTAATAGCGATCCCCGTTCACGAAAAAATGAGAAACTGACAATCTGGCGGAAATTATAGTTTTCACCCCTCAAGTTTGCACCAATTACACATATGGTCCCTCATGTTCACAAAAAAACACATTTAGTCCCTCATGTTTCAACTATATAACACTTTTGGTCATTTTCGTGAATTTATTGTTAGTTCGTCAGTGAAGGCAGTGGTGAGCACACGTTTGATTCCGTTAGTACTAACGGAAAATTGACGAAAAAGACTACACGTGTTGAATTTTTTAAACATAATGGATTAAATGTGATTTTTGAGAACTTAGTGGATCAAATGTGAAATTAGTGAAAACTTGAGGGGTAAAAAATATAATTTTCCGTACAATCTGAATTCACTGAAAACAGAGATGTCTGTAATAAACTATGCATCCAACAATGGCTTCCTCTTATCAACAATGGCTTCTTCTTCTTCATCTTCACTTAATTCACACACCGGTTTGTACTTATAAAACCACGCACACGTGACATAGTAAAAAAAATTAACCACCTGCAAACCGGTCACGAGCCAGTAATAATTCTCCAACCGGCCCCGGTTCAAATTCCGGTCCGGCAACCAATTCCCCCTCTCGCCCGAATACTTGTGCACCAACGAAACCACCAGCGTGCTCACATAACTCCCCATCGCAATCGCTATCCAGTACAGCGCCGCCGCCGTGCTCCTCATACTCTCCGGCGACTGATCGTACAGAAACTCCAGATGCCCCACCGCCATAAAAACCTCCGCCAATCCGTGCAGGAAATACTGCGGCACCAACCAGAACACACTAATCGGAATAATTTCCGCCGGATGATCGAGTAAATTGAAAGCCCTAGCCACCGATTTCCGCCTGATCTCGACGAGCGCCGACGCCACGGTGGCGAAGATGCTGATTCCGAATCCGATCCCCATCCTCTGTAGGCACGTGATTCCGGCGGGATTCTTCGTGAAGGAGCGGGCGAACGGGACGAAGAGGCGCTCGTACAGCGGTAGGAATGTTAGGACTGTTAGGGTTGTGAAGATCGGCATTGTCGCCGGCGGGATCTGGAACTCCGGCGAGAGATGCCGGTCCATGCTTCTGGCTTGTACGATTGTGAAGCTTCCGATGTGGGAGTGTGACGCCACTAACAGTATCGCCGCCGCCCAAATCGGCAGCATTCGTATGATGGTTTTGAGCTCTTCTACTCTGTGTACGGTTGCTAATCTCCATAGATTTGGTTCGTTCGATGATCCATCTTTCATGTCCGATTGCGATACCACAGCCGCCCGATCGAGACACCTTTCCGGAAATCAAAACAAAAAACTCGATTAGTACTCAACTTCGAATTTCATTTGCTAGCATAAAGTCCGATTCTATCGGAAGTCAAAGGCAAATAGACCCCAAGGAGCATCACTCGTGAATGTGACTCTCGATTATTTAAGTTGAAACGCATAAATGCCCTTCGAATCGGTGTTCGTCACCACCTATACTTAGTGCAATTGTCAAAACAAGAACGAAAACCTCGTGATATTTTTATTAGCTTAAAGTCCGATTCGATCGAATGTTTAAGGTAAGTAGAACCCGAGGAGGTCAATGTGTAACCCACTCGTGAAATTTGCGACTCTCGATTATTAAGTTCAAATGACATAAATGCCCTTCGATAACTAACAAAATGCTCTTTGGAGAGATTGTGAAAGTGTTGTTTATATAGGGATAGTGAACTAAAGAAATGTATTATATGAAGATTTAGAGTAAATTACAATTGGCCCAATCTCATTGAGGTAAAGTGTAACTAAAAGACCCCTTCATTTTGAGATTTTACATCCAGCCCATTGTAGTTTGTAAAATTCTTACATCCACCCCAACAAAAGGGTGTTAATGTAAAAAATCTACAGATTACAGGGGTGGATGTAATTATGAAAACATGATGGACTTTTTTGTAATTTACCTGAAGATTTATGCTAACAATAAGATACTTCTCTAGCAATAAAAAGAGCATAGCTTACTTGAACTGATTCGAGTGGAGGAGCCTCCCATTGGTGGAGATATTAGCATCAAGCTCTTTGTTCCGATACAATGCGGTCGAATCATTCGGCGGCAAAACGATCTTTCTCTTTCGAACGGCCGCAACAATCACTTGCGTGACTCTCACGAAAGGGCTACCCCCCGGTTTAACTTTCTTGTAGAGTGAGGAACCGAGAACGAAAACGACGAGAGATAAGGCCATCGCGATCGTGGGGATCCCTAGGCCCCACCCCCAACCGACATTGTCTTGGATGTAAACGACGACCGTTAGAGCTAAGAGCGAGGCGACCGCCATGCAGAAGTAGTACCAATTGAAGAAGTTCCAACTTCTTGATTCGGTTTTCGATTTCGTCATTTCGAATTGGTCGGCTGCGAACGTGACGACGCATGGCCTAATGCCGCCGGTTCCTAGAGAAGTTAGGAGGAGGGCAGTGTATAGGACCCACAGTTGCGTCTTCGTGGCGGCGGTGCAGTTTTCTTGAGTCGGACACGGTGGAGGGCGGAGGTCCGGCATTGTTGCCGATATTGTAATTGTAATCATCCCCTACCAAAAAAAAAAAAGAGAAAAATAATATTACTTAAAAAAAAAACGGTCGTTGGGGGGCCACGGCCTCCCCTATATTGATTGAGAGAGGAATTGGAGACGGACCAAGATGTAGATAATGGAACCGGCGATGATGGTCCAAAACCGACCGGCGAAGGAGTCGGCGATGAAAGCACCGATGAGCGGCGTAAAGCTCGAAGTTCCGGCGAAGTTTGTGAGAGTGTTTGATGCTTCGACAAGTGGCAGATTCAGCACTTGAGTTAGGTATGTTATCATGTTGGCGTGAAAACCGGAGGCTGCGAATCTGTCGCATACTTCATTTGCTGTAACAACAAATTTTTCATTGATGCAGCAGTTGCTAATTAATTTTTTTTTTTTCAATTTATCATGTAGATTGCATTCATTACTACATGCTCATATTATATCAGAAGTAAATAGAAAAATATACCAACAAAATTTAAAAATAAATAAAGAAAGAAAGAAAGAAAGAAAACATATGACAGCTGCTCATATATTAATTAATAGTTGCATCCTAAGAAAATGATACACACACACACACACACACACACACACACACATATATAGAGAGAGAAACTAGGAAATCTTAGGTATTTCCGAAGACGAAATCGATCGAAAAGTCGACTAATTTCGATTAAAACTCGGATTAGTAAATATTGAGATGATGGAAAATCTTACCAACTTCATTAAATTATTAACTCTCAATGTGCTAATACAAAGAGATATTAGTTAACTGTAGATTAAATTAATCCATGATTAACATTTAACATCCCTGTATATTAATATTTATGTGCAACTTATCTACATTCATGAAACATCAAGTTCATTTAGTAACCAGAAAATTTAAAGAATATGAGAGAGAGAGAGAGAGAGAGAGAGAGAGAGAGAGAGAGAGAGAGAGAGAGAGAGAGAGAGAGAGAGAGAGAGAGAGAGAGAGAGAGAGAGAGAGAGAGAGTTACCAAGAATGAATGGCATTGTTCTAACACCACCAAGCTGCTTAAGTTGGACAACTTCATCTTGTTTCTTTCCCTCCTCATCTCCATTTTCAGACATTTTTGTCTCTAAATTATCAGCCTTCTCCATAATATATTCTAAAGTGTGTTGCAACATATATACAAGAACTCTTTGTATTTATAACCAGTAGATGGGCTGTAATAAATTAGTATTAATCTATAAATTCCTTATTCTGGCAGAAGACAAATGTGATTGGTGGGGACAAAGAAAAGAAAATAAAAAGAAGTTGATTTAATTTGCATGTGATCCTTTGTCTCTATTAAAATATAAATCGGTGAACTCTATTTACTCAGCTTGTCTTCTTCTTAATAAGTGCCTCCTCATTTTCTACCAATATTTCTCCAGTTTTGCTTTATAACTGAAATAAATAAAAAAATCAGATTATTCAGTCCTGATATTGTGTATATATATATATATATATATTGGAAATTATTTTATACATACCTTTTATTTAATTATTTGTGGAGCTTATGTGTCCATTAAGATTATGGGTGGTAAACAAGCTGAGCCGACTTGAAAAAAACTCGAACTCGAACTTTGTTTTAGTTGTTCGTGAACTCACGAGCCGGCTCGCGAGCCTTCCTTTATATATATATATATATATTTCATTATTATTTTGTAATTTTTTTATGTAATAATAGAAATAATTTTTAATAATTCAAAAAAATCAAAATGAGCTTCGACTCGAGTTCGAGCTCGTCAAAATCTCGAACAGAAAAAAAGTACTCGATGAGCGAGTTCGAGCTCGGATCTGTCAAAACAGCCGAGCTCGGCTCATTCACACCCCTTCTGCTTGATGGTATCTGTGTAATTAGTACGTTAATTAGAGAAAGAAAATGTATATATATATGGTAGATGGTATGAGAGGGTATGAGAGAAAATTGCTGGATTTGCTGACGTACTTGCTTACGTCAAAACTCACAAATGATTGGGGGAGGGGGGGGATTGGGGGTCTGAATTCTGATAAGTAATAACAACAGTACAAGAAACATATCTTCTGTATGGATACAAATATATATATATATATATATTTTATTTTCTTACTTTAATTTGTCCCCACTCTCCCTAAACTCATGAATGCTATTTGTTTTCTTTTCATCTTACACATTAGGGAATAAACCTAGTGTAGTCAGTGTATATCACCACATACCGCGATATGTATCGTGATACAATACGATTTTTGTGGAAACGATACATCTAAGCATATGTATCAATCGTAATCAAATACTGATAAATATCGTTCCATATCGCGATCTGATACGATACGGTATTTACGACAGTTGTTTTGGGGGTGATTTGTCGATATTTGGCATATTTAAGGGTGATTTGTGCGATTTTCAGCACAGTTTGGGGTGATTTGTCAATATTCGACATATTTAGGGGTGATTTGTGCGATTTTTAGCACAAATTGTGGTGATTTGTGCGCTTTTCAGCACATTCGGTATATTGAGGGGTGATTTGTGCGATTTTCAGCACAATTTTGGGTGATTTGTCAATATTCGGTATATTTAGAGGTGATTTGTGCGATTTCAGCACAATTTGGGGTGCTTTGTGCGATTTTCAGCACAATTTGGGTGATTTCTGAGATTTTCATCACAATTTGGGGTGATTTGTCAATATTCGGCATATTTAGGGGTGATTTGTGCGATTTCAGCACAATTTGGGGGTGATTTATGCGATTTTCAGTACATTTGGGCGTTTTGCGCGATTTTCAGCACATTTTTTTTTACAACTGTGTTTTTTTTTTTTTCAATCAAGGCAAAGCCAAAAAAGAAAATGCTTCAAATAAATTTTATTGTTCTCCCAATCACTAACAAGAAGGAATAAGGAAATTAAGCTTCAACAGATGTAATAAAATAAAAACAACAGGCATATCAACTCCATAATCGAAAAATAATCGAAACCTTAATACGTAAACTCGTAAAGTACCTGGAGAAAATTATGCACCAAGTCCACACAGTGTACACATCCATTCTTGATCACTAAATGAAAGCAGTCCACAATTGCTCAGATCCAAATTACCTCAGTAACAAAAAATAATCGAAACAAGAACATTCGAAAAAAAAAAAAAAAAAAAATTCAATGTCGAACTATATTCTGACAGAATACCGGCCGGCACCAACAACAGAAACGGGACCCACCAGTTTTTTCTTAAAACTAAAAATTTCAGCTAATACTAAACCATAACAGAAATTTTCCGAATTTATTTTATTTTTTCTCAGTTGAAATCCCTTAGCCGTTTCTTGAGCATATCCATCGACTTCTTTCTCGCACTCTGCTTCGACGCTCTGTTCGAAAGGCTACCAAAAAGCCCGTCAGCCGAATCTTTATACTTCTCACAAATCGTAGCCACTTTTTTATAATCCAAAGTATTGTAATTCCTCTCCCTTATAACAGGGTTCATAAAATTCTCAGGTTGACTACTCATCAAAAGGTTAATCAACTGCCTCGCTTCTATCAAACACCCTCGGAAGCTTCCATCTTTGTATATCTCATTCAACCCCGTCGAATGGAATCTCTCGTCAGCAAAAGTTTCCAACGCCTTCAAATCAAGATTGATACTCGTCACAGCATTCACGTTAAACCTCTTGATACTATCACTCAGAAATGTCCCCATAATGGAGTTCGATATATGGTCTAAAGCACCGCTCCCGACTTTATACAGAGCATCCAAGGGCAAGATTTGCTGAGCTGTCGACAGAACTGTGTCGAGATATATTACAACCTCGTTTATATAATCGTTCCCGTGCTGAGCTGTCTCGTCGGATGTCCAATTCACGTTTTCTGTTAGTGACATAAATTCGTCTAATTTGGAATTCACTAGACTCAATAGAGCAAGATAAGCAGCATCTCTCGAAGTTTTTAAGACGATCTTGGCCGTTAATCCAATTTGAGGCCTGTCGATCGATCTCACGGGAATCCCGCATTGTTGGGCGGCATGCTGGAGGAAATAGTCACAAGCCCGCTCCAAAACGGAGATATTGGCGGCAATTTGCATCGCCTGAGAAACTCCTATTGTTCCATTGTGAATCGTATTGAGTATGACCTCATTCAAGACATCGATCAAAAGCTTGTCCAAATACTTTCGGACGAAATCGAAGTAATTCATGTTGGACCCGTAAGATAGATAGTTGACCGAATCCTTAATAAACGAGCGTACAATGCGACAGCTGTCGGGCACCATGCTAGAGAAAGGGGCAATATAGGGAAAAGCCGGCATTATATCCGAAGTTTGGAGATGGAACAGGAGCACGTTCGACTGATAATCTGACTCCTTTTTCATCACCATTTGCTCGCAAGTGTCATTACTTAAAATATCCGTAATTTGCTGACGGCACTCTGCTAAGAGAAGCTCGTGATATTTCTCTCGGCTGCTGTTCAAAGTTTCGAGAATTGTGCCCACTTCGTAACCGTACTGTCTTAACGTTGTACCGAAGAGAGTCACGTAGTCCTTAACCAAGAGAAGATGGCTAGCTGCATCCATGTGAGAGAATTGCTCCTCCAAGACTGCGGTTAGTTTCGCGCCAGCTGTCTCCCACATTGTCTCGAGCTCTGTCGGCGAAAGAAGACCGCCAGCTGTCCTCAAAACCCGATCCTCAACGATAAAATAACCCGCAATATGAGCTAAAAAGGTTTGATGGGATTCCAGGAATGGATGTGCAGATGATATCTGTAAATCAGATTTGAGCTGCAGAAACCGATTCTTGTAATAATAGTCACGAAATTGTTCGGGAATTCCGAGACAGTTGTGAATGTGGTAGGCTCGGTAAAGAGGGGTGAGGTCGAATTTTAGGACAGAGTTTTCATCGATCTCTTCGACATCTAATGTGTAGGTGCAGTCTTCTAACCCCAAACAGCTCTGTTCTTCGGCTTTTCGCTGACGAGACAGCATTTCCTCGTCTCTCTGACGAGCGGACGAAGAATATCCGATAGCAGTTTGTCCGATATCTTTCGCAGCACTCCTTATATGAACCAACCATTCATTAACTTCACTACAAACCTTCTTCTTGATATGCGATTTAAGTAACGGTATTCGTTTCTCTATCATCATTTTAACCGTCTTAACAGGAACATTCTGCATGTAAGTTCTCTCGATCAAATCGACCGCTTTCAAAGCCGGATAAAATCGACCTTCGGAAACGTGAATATTGCACTTGACACAAAGATCCAAGATCTGGACACAGTTTTTCGACATTTTAATAGCTTCCGTAACATTCGTCTTGATCGAGTAAGATTCTAGAAGCTCTTCAAGTTTCATGAGTAAGGAACTCCCGACTTGTTGCAGCCTGTAATTATCGCTCGAGAGCTCGCTTTTGAGCTCTTCGGCATCCACAAGGACCCCACGCAGCTCATCTACAGCTACGATGAATTCTTCGTAGTGGAGCTTGCAAAGCTCTTCGATCTCAACTTCTTTCTTTCTAACTAAGTTTTTAAGCTGCTGCAAAAGGGATTCGGGTTTGCCCGTCTCGAATGAAAGCCTGACCATCGGGCCTAAATCTTCGCCATTACTGACCATAGTTGCGAGAACCGAATCCTCGCCTGTGTCGCCATTTTCCGTCACGATTCTCTTCTTGGTTTTCGAGGTCATATTTGGAATTCTTTTTTTGTCGAAAATCCCTGTCTAAATTAGAACCCATACAATCAATGAGTTTTTACAGTAACATTACAGGATCACACTGAAATTCTTGATAATGAAAACAAACAAAAAAAAAGCAGAGCAAGTCGAGAGAGAGAGAGAGAGAGAGAACAGAGCATATAATTATTTCAACAGCATATTCGGTTTCATCTCTAACAGTGACAACAATAAGCAAAGCAAAAGGGCAAAACGGGAAGTCACTAATCATACACACACAATTCCAGTTTGAGATCTATTTCCTTTACAAGATTCTGGCAAAATTAATTTCCAAAACTAGGGTTGGGCGATCACAGTCGAAGCAAAAAGGGGGTTTCACAAAATGAGTTAGATTTCCATCAATTAAAGCATAGAAATAGAAATAGAAATACAAAAGATTAGCCCTTTTTACCTTAAACGAAGCAAATCAACAAACGAATCCAATAATTCGCCTTCCGTAGAAACGTTTTTTTTCTTGGGTTTTTCTTCTCGTCGGAGAATCCAACGCCCAATTCTTGTCGATATTGTTTATGTGTGTGTGTGTGTGTGTGTGTGTGTGTGTGTGATATTAATACTGAGCCGGAGTTTCCATTATTGGGCGATGATGGCGTACAGGGGTCTATTTGTAATAATTAAATTAGGGGAAAAAAACATTCTCACTTGGAAGCAAAGACAACAGTCCCAAATGTTTTCTATGATGCAAACATTTTGGTTTAATTTTGTTGTTTCTAATTTTTTATAGGGTAAATTACACCCACACCCCTGAGGTATGCTTAAATAACTGTAAGGTCCCTGTGGTATCAATAATTACACTCACCCCTGAAAGGTAGTTAAAAACTCTAACGGGATAATGCATTTGATACATTATTCCGATAGGGTTCTAATGGACTATTGGTTTCAGGAAGTGGTGAAGACAACAAAGAGTTATGGGTGATTTAAAAAATATTGGGGGAGCCATGTCACCCCATAACTCCCCATGACTCTATGTTATCTCCACAACTAGCTAAAAGTAATAGTCCATTAGAACCCTATCGGAATAATGTATCCAATGCATTATCCCGTTAAAGTTTTTAACTACCTTTCAGGGGGGTGAGTGTAATTATCGATACCACAGGGACCTTACAGTTATTTAAGCATACCTCAGGGGTGTGGGTGTAATTTACCTTTTTTTATATATTAAGGCCTCGTTTGGATCCGGAGATGAGTTATTATTAACTAAATAGTTGCACCCTATTTAATGTTTGAGAATTTGTTAACTAAATAGTTGTACTTTATTTAATGTTTAGTATTCTCAGTAATTTGTTCGGCCGACTCTTAAGTATTACGATAAATATGAGCACACTCTGAGGTAATGTCAAATAAATAAATAAACCCTTATGTTTTGATAATTACAACCATCTCCCTTAATTATGATTTTTTTACAAGATGATTATAATATATATCTCTTACTTGTAAATATCTGATTGTGGTGCATTATAAATTGCATTTTTGCATAAAACGAGTACAAACTAGATGAATATTTCACGAAACGTTGAAGATTATGTTGAATTTGTCGCAATAAAACTAAACGTGTAACAAGATTCATAGTCAAAGGGTATGGTTGGATTTACCAAACATGAAGAGTTTTTTTTGTAATTTGACTTTATCTCAGAAAGTGGCATCAATTTACCCGTAATAAATAAAATTAAAAAGTTTGAATTAAGAAAATAAAAATTGGAAAGTGGGCTTTTGATGATGAGAGCATTGACCCTATTGCCCTTCTTATTACGCATGGGCTTTTTGCCGCCGAAGCTTAATGGGCCGCAAAATTTCTTGGAAGCAAATTGGGAAAAATATACATCAATTTCACCCCCAAATTTGTATAAATTTCACATTCTTGGTCTATCATGTTCATAGAAAGTACATTTAATCCCTCATGTTTCAAAAATTCAATACTTTTAGTTATTTCCGTCAATTTTCCGTTCGTACTAACGCAACTAAGCATGTGCTCATGACCGCTTTAACAGACGTACTAATGATAAATTACCAAAAATGTTAAATTACTGAAACATGAAAGGCCAAATGTATATTTTATGAACATGAGGATCAAATGTGATCTCAGTGCAAACTTGAGGGGTGAAAAAATATGATTTATATATACATATATATTTTTTAAATAGTTCTTTCAAAAAAATATTATTATTATTAATAATAATAATAATAATAATAATAATAATAATAATAATAATAATAATAATAATAATAATAATAATAATAATAATAATAATAATAATAATAATAATAATAATAATAATAATAATAATAATAATAATAATAATAATAATAATAATGATAATAAAAGGGTAAATTACGAAAATCACCTGAACTTAGGTTAAATAACAAAAAATATCCCACCTATCAGTGATAACCAAAATCCCCATCTAATTAACTGTTGATCGAGTTTTGTAACAGAAAATGTGTACAATTTATTCTACCTTCTGTTAGACAGGTGAGAAATAAAAGAAAATATATGAAATTGTGTAAATTCTATTCATGAAATAAAAAAAATTCGTGAAAAGTCACACTATAGAGGGATTGGTGTAAGACCGAAACAAACTTCGGGAGATTTTTTATAATTACGAATAAGTGAGAGTATTTTTCGTTATTTAGCCTAAGTTTATGGGGTTTTTGTAATTTACCCTAAAAAATAGTAGGATTTGACCAAATTTGTTCAAAAAATGAAAGCAGATAATGACCTCATAATATATCCGAAACGGATAACAGAAAGCGGGAGCCAAACTGCCCTTCATATCTCTCTCTCTCCTCTTCTCACTCTCTCTCTCTCTCTCTCTCTCTCTCACACATTGACACACACACAAAAATGTCTGCAACTTCTTCATCACTCTCCACAATTCTCCCAACTCGAAACCCCAACCCCAAAATCCGATTCTCCGTTCCTCTTTCCTCCCCGATTTTTTCCCCCAAAAGCGAGCAGAAATGGAGCAGCACTCAGCTAACAGCTCTTTCGAGAAGAGATTTTTTGAACGGATCAGCAGTTTTGCTGCCATTAATCAACATTTCGAATCCTCCATCTTCACTAGCTAAAGAAGTTGAGGTCGGATCTTATCTCCCCGCTTCGTCTACCGACCCCTCTTTTGTCCTCTTCACCGCCACTTCTAAAGACACCCCTGCTCTGCGCGCAGGTAATTTACACACACACACACACACACACACACACACACACACACACACACACACACACACACACAGATATTATGAATTATTATATGCTAATTGGTTCAATTTTGTGGTTGCTAATGTTGATTCCACAGTTTAGTGAATAGTGGTTTATAGGGTTTTTCGATTGGGGGTTATGCTTGGTTCTTAAATCTTAATGTGGATTTTAGGGATTTAATTTTGCATTTTGCTGCTGTGGCCTTCAATTGGGGGAAATGGGAAGATAAAATCAAATCATCTCTAAGAAGGGAAGAATGAACGGTTTTTCGTAACACGTAAAATTTGGTTCCGAATCCGATTATTATTATTATTATTCAGAAGAGCAATTCTGATAGTTGTTATTCAACATAGCAATGAAGCTTGAGGGATTTATTATGTGTAGCTAATTCGACTCTATATAACTAACTGGCTTAGCTACTTCTGTGAAAGGTTTTAAAATTCGATAAATGTCTTCTCGTTGACATCGTAGAGAAACTTACGTAAACGTCAAAGATATAGTGAAGTAAAACAGAAATTAACATGATTAGAAGGTTCTACTCTTCTAAATTGTTGTGAGTGGTGTGTGACTCAGTTAACAAAGAGGTCCTTAATCCTATCTTTTTAAGTTTCTTGATTAGATCTTTGAAAAACTCTTAGATCACACCCGTAAACCTTATTTAGATGGCTGCCAAAAAAATAAATCAAATATTTGTTTCTGTATTACTTGTGTACTTTGTAACTTGTGTATATGCTTATGAAAGCTGTGAATCTAGTTTGTTTCAGGAAATGTACAGCCCTATAAGTTCATGCTGCCACCGACATGGAAACAGATGCGTATAGCCAACATACTATCCGGAAACTATTGCCAACCAAAGTGTGCAGAGCCATGGATAGAGGTCAAATTTGAAGACGAAAAACAGGGGAAAATTCAAGTTGTGGCTGCCCCTTTGATACGATTGACAAACAAACCTAATGCAAGAATCGAAGATATCGGTAGCCCAGAGAAACTCATTGCTTCTCTCGGTCCATTTGTCACTGGAAATACACTCGACCCTGATGAACTTCTTGAAACTTCTATTGAAAAACTTGGCGATCAAACGGTATGATTTTCTCTGATTTTTTATATACATGCTTCCTTTGCTTAGCCGTATTTCTTACATTTGATTTTTTTAATGTGAATGCAGTATTACAAATACGTGTTGGAGACGCCATTTGCTCTGACGGGAACACACAATATTGCAAAGGCAACAGCAAAAGGCAGCACGGTAATCCTCTTTGTCGCCAGTGCCAACGATAAGCAGTGGCAATCGTCGCAGAAAACTTTGCAGGCAATACTTGATTCCTTTCAAGTCTAGTAAAATCATTTTCAAGAAAACAGAATTCAAACCTAAACACACACCTTTTGCTTTTGGTCATATATTTTTTTTAATAATATGGATTAAAATTCACTGAACCCAGAATGTGTGTTCATTTTGTATGTCAATATTCCAATTACTGATTGCCAAGATAATTATTACGATGAATGAGTGAATTTATTTGAATGTTATTCGTTTTATGTATCTTTATCTATGTGTAAATATTTTCTGCGCGCTCGAAAGATCTACCGTCGTGGATTTTCCACAAGAAAGTTACAGCTGAATATAAAATCAAGGTAAAGATTTACAGACGAAGTTCATAAGAGCATCAGTCTACAGTACCTATTAGTCATTAATTATTACACAAGGTAAAATTATAAGTTAAAACATATGAGATCCAAAAGTGTCTCCGCTATCTACAAAAGCGACTCGGCATAAACATTTTCAACACTCAATTAGTCACTAGATGAGGGGCAGATCCCTTAAACGGAAGCATGCACGAGTATGTGACGTACTTCACACTGTCAACTAACACAACGACAAAAATTCGCGAGAGGGATTTCGTTCCTCCCATGACACCATCCACGTCAGCATCACCTGCCTCTCTAGGATCAACAAGCACAGAAACCACCATAGGAGGAGAGACGGAATTATTACCATTCAAGTTCTTATTCTGTGAGTTAGTTCCGGCGTGTTGTCTGGAAATATCGTACGAGGATTGAGGAAGTGGAATAGGAAGACCTCGAAGAATTCTTCTATTCATTCCCTTGCTCAGTCGAGTGGAGTTCTGTTTCTGCTCAGAAGTGTTTCTTGATGTAGTAGAAGCAGGGATTATGGCCCCCGGCGACACTTCAAACTGGAAAACTTCACTACACATGCCGGAGCTTAACATGGGACCTGAATATTAAGTACATAACGACAGTGTTATGCTTCTAGAGAGAGAGAAAATCGAGAACTCGTAAGAAAGAATTCGCACGTTGGGGGCAAGATTTCTTTACTGGAATCTGTAGTTCCATAACAGAAAAACGTTAAACACAAAAAACATGTAGCTAATTAGCATATGTTTAGGTTCCGAATATGTAATCTAACTAAGACTTCAACAAAACAATAATCTCTTTGTAAAAGCGGCCAAACTAATACTGTTACAGATACAAAGCTTGAGTTGCATGCAAACAGCCGTGCACAACGAACAACTGTTTCGTTTCCCGAAACCCGAACTATCTTACTTTCACAAGTAGTGTCATTATTCTTGCATTCAAGTAACTATACATATTTATATAAGCAAGCGAGAGCAGTTTTTGAAGCTTAAATCAAAACTTAACAAGGCAGAGACATTCATTTAACATATAGTCTATAGACGTATATATATATCACACGAGGAAGGACAATAATTACCAGAAAGGCCTTCACGGAACCATTGCTGAAGCACGCCATCAGTTGCTTTTGGCTGTCTACTATCCTTGTCTGCTGAGCCCGAACCAAGAGCCCTGAGATGGGGATGCCTAGCACCATTATTACCCACACCTGGAACAGTAAGACTTAAATCTCCAGGAACTGCCAAACCAGTCTCACCACTTCCCTTCCGATTTGACGACATGGATTTCTCACTTGCCAACACTGAATGGATAATCAAGTTCCCGTCTATCTTGACCATCTTATCATTCCTAGGGACATACAACGACGCGACAAGAGGTTCGCTCCCATTGCCCAGTCCACCAAAATCATCTGCGTTTGGCTTCGCTCCACTATCATGACCTACTCGACCACAATGTATACTACTTTCACTACTAAAATCACTTTTAACACCATCTTTCACACCATTCCCAGTCCCAGTCCCATTCAACATCAAAACCCTACCTCGATGGTTCTCGTGAAACCCACCTCCGACATAACTTTCTCCTCCGCCCATCAATGTCTCCCTCACTCCTCCATACCTCATATTGACTAGTGGAGCCAAGCCTCCAAATAACATAACGAAAAACAGCAAACCGAGGAAACTAACACCAGCAACTTTCTTCGTCTTTGGCCTATCTTTCTTCTTACTCTCTACCTTCTTGCTCACCTTCGGCACTTGTGCAGGCTGTTGTGGTAATCTCGGGATTGGCAGCAAAGGCACTTGAGATCCGTGTGGCTTCATCATATAAGGTGGAGCATATGGATTCCATGGATACATCATGGCTGGATGGGGGTACATTCCAGGAAGGGGCTGTGCCGCCACTGGTGGAGGAGGCTGTGGGACAGCACCACCAACCATTTGTTGTCGCAAAGTCGCATTTTCCGCCATGAAGTATGAAATCTTTGTATTTAGGTCTTGAATAGTCGAGTGCATCATTTTCACCTTGTCCTCTAACTCGTCTACGTAATGCTTCTTCCTCTGTCTCGATAATTGAGCACTCTCCCTATTCCTAATCAACCTGGCCTTCCTTTTCTCATCCTCTTCACTTATCCCCCCATTATCGTCGTTCTCGTTCTTATTGCTATCCTCTGAATTCAAGTTAGATTTTCTATACTTGTTAATCCTTGACTCTACGGTTTTATTGGGCAGATCATCTGAATCTTTTTTCCTTTTCAAAACAGAGGTTTTAACTTTGTTTTTGGGCGGCTCCTCTGACTTAATTTGATTAACAGCTCCAACCCTAATCGAATTTGGGGAAGAACTCACCGACCTGGTCACGCAATTATTCGAGTGCTCGGATACATTAGACCCGCAATTACCTGAACCCCGAGATTCTGGTGAAGCGCAATTTAATCCTTTTGTATCACCACCGCAATTATCGGAGTTCCCGCCATTTGATCCTTTCGATTCGGGCGACGGCACATTGAGATGGCCGGAAGTATGGTGCTGCTCCAACAAAGGTGACGTTGAATTCAGACCCCCCGAGCCATTGGAGCTGCGATCGCCAAGAAAATCGCCTTCTCCTGAAATATGACATAATTCCGAAGAAGTCGATTTATAAACGGCGTTAAATTGGTCGGCGTTCGGTTCGAATTGGGGGAAACTCGCGTTCTGCCCCGGCTGGGAATCGAAACCTATAATTTGTTCGGGGTTAAGGAGGCCGTCGATTCCGTCGTCGAAATTGAGATATAGATCGTCGAAGGAGTAATCGAAATCGAGGTCGTCGCCAAGGGCACCACCGGCGTTATCAATTAGGTCTTGAGAAAAGAAATCAGCATCAAAAGGTGGAACCGAGAGGCCGCAATCGTAATCAGCGGTTTGAGACGGCGGCTGATCGACGGAGACCGCGGTGGCGTCAGCCATTATTTCGGCCGGAAATAAAATGTGAGGAAATTGGAGAAAATTGATTTGGGGCAAAGAGACGGACTTTCTCAGGATCAGGAAGAGTGGGTCTAGGTTTAGGTGACGCGTTTTAAGCAAGCGTGTAATTGACGCATCTTCGTTTCACTAAGGGTATAGGTGGAAATTGGAAAAAAAAAACTCAATGGGTAAATTACGAAAAATCCCCTGAACTTAGGATAAATAATGAAAAACACCCCCACCTATCTGTAATAACCAAAATCCCCATGGATTAACTGTTGATCGAGTTTTTTAAAAGAAAATATGTACAGTCTATTATACTTTTTGTTAAATAGATGAGAAATAAAAGAAAATATGTGAAATTGTGTCAGTCTATTCCCTGAAATCAAAAAAAGTCCGTTAAAAGTCACATTGTAAGGGATTGGTGTAAAACGGAAACAAGCCTTAGGGAGTTTTTGATGATTACGAATAGGTGGAGGTGGTTTTTGTAATTTAATCTAAGTTTAGGAAATTTTCGTAATTTTCCTGATCAAATTTTGCTCAATTTAGATCCATATCTGACATTTTTCGATTTTAAAACAGTATTTCTGAAATAAGGTGTCTTATTTTTGGATTGGAAATAGAATATATTAGATCCTCTCATAATTTTTTAAAATACTTCTGAGAATTTTGATATTCTTAGAAAAACTACATAGTAAAAAAATAAAATCAAGATGTTAATTATGAATCAATATGTTCGTTTTTCAGTCTAACAATGAAGTTGATTTAAAAGGAAACTAAGTGACACATTTTCATCATACTTGCACTATGTGACTTATACTTGTTTATATTTATAATTACAAGTTCATAATAGTTAAAAGAATATGTGTATATATTTTTTTGTAATGAAAGAATTCGCAATCAAGTTATTAACTGAATAAATATATACTCTCGTATAATAGCTTGCAAACTGTACGAGAGACGTAAGAATCTGTATTTTCAATTTAACTAGAGGAGGTTAATATTATATTAAAAAAAAGGATAAATTACACCTAAAATCCTGAGGTATGCTAAAATAACTTTAAGATCCATGTAGTATCGATAATTACAATCACCCCTGAAAACATTGTTAGAAACCATAACCGTCTATTAGTTTCAGGCAGTGGCGGAGACAAGATAGAGCTAGGGAGTGACATGACTCTCCTAACATTTCTTATATCCTTATTATTTTACTATATAAGATTTATAAATTGTCTTCCATGGTAGAATCGGCCCCGCGCGAAACAAATATAGTGCATATCGGTTCTCAAGACATAAAATCTTGGCTCCGGTAATTGTTTCAGGGGTGTGACTTCAATTTCAATACCATATGGACCTTAAAGTTATTTTAGTATATATCAGGGTGTAGTTGCAATTTACCAAAAAAAACAATAGATTGGTGAGCGCGTGAAAGACAAACATCAAAAGATGCGATGACCGGGATATAGTTTGACTTCTTTTCTTATGGATGTCGAGAAACTTCTCAACTTTGACTAGGTTTATTTTTTTTAACTTTATTTTGCTCGGCCGCTACGCGTATGTTAATGTGACACCAGAAAATTTATATATGTACTTATTAATTCAAATAACATGGCTTGGGCTTTTAATTAGGCTTAATTGACTCAAATGGGCAAAGTGGGCTATAAAATTTGGGCTTATATTTATATTTTTGAATTTAATTTAAGTGTATTATTATTTTTGGGCCATAGCCCATCATAACCAATAGTAAAAATAATTCTAGAAATTGGTAAAAATAATATCAATACCGTCGCTTCGATTTCAAATGTAATTTTGATAATTTTTCACTCCAAGTTTTGCAAAACCCGAAAAATAGAATTTGCAGTTTTTTGAGTTAGTATTAAAAATCAACTTGAAATATATATTAATCAATAGATACTATCCACAATTTTGATATTTTGAGTTAACTAATATTCTTGCATAACTTAATCATACGACGTTAAATCTGGCTGATGTAAACTGAATTAAAAAGCTAACACCAAGAACTGCAGCTTTTGTTTTTTAAATATTATAAAATCAATCCACATATATGTCAAATCAAATTAGAAATCAAAAGTGTATTAATAAAATTAAAACGACATTTAACAATTCGATTATTCGATTAGATATTTGATACCCTACGTTGACCAGAGATATTTCCAAGGAATTATTTTTGTCTTTTTTGGGATTTTTAATTACACAAAAACGGAATTAAATAAATTAAAAACCAAAAAAAAAGGAAAAAAAGAAAAGAAAAAGAAAAGAGATAAGAAGAAAAAAGGAAACACCCAAAAACACGCAGAAAAAAGTTTCCATATAAAATCAAACCCCAATTATTCACCGCTCGTACTCTTCTCTCTTCGATCGTTGTGGGTGTGGTGCGGGAGGATAACCAAAGAGGAAAATTGAGAAAAGGGTTTTTTCCCTTTTCTCAATTCCCCTTTTCCCTCTCTCTCTCTCTCTCTCTCTCTGCTCTTGCTCGCTGTGGGATGAGTCACCGTATCTACTTTTCATAGTTTTTTTTTTTTAATTGTGTTAGTATCTAGGATTATGGATTTGACTTCCCAATCAGCCGTTGAATCTGGTGCCTTCCTGGGGCGGAAGGCGGCGGCGGAGGAGGTGGTGGAGGATGCGGCGGTGGAGCCGCTGCCGTTCTATGTTTCAGCCGTGGATCCGTTCCTCGTCGAGGCTCTTCAAAACCCTCGTCATCGTTTAACTAGTTAGCTTTTCTTCTTCCCCTTAAAATTTATTTTTAAATTTAGTTCAATTTTGCTTTGATTTTTCTTAATTGTTTATTGGTGGTTTTGTTTGAGATTTGTATCTTGCTATATGTTGTTACTTGTTAGGGTTGGAGCTGATTTGAAGTTTGAATTAGTTTCACTTGGATCTAATGGGATTTGATTCTACGAATGAGTTTCTTCGTTTTATTTAATTATTTTAATTTAGGTGCTAGTTGATGTAGATCCGGATTTGGAAAATGTGAATTATGTACCATTGAGCTTATTGGTCCCTCTGAATTGGCAAACAAAATCGAGGGATACTGAGAACAGAATTTTGATACGGGAGAGCGAATTACTAGAGCTAATATTGATGTATTTGTTTCTTGTTTTATCTCAAAATCTTGTTTGTGTGATGCTTGTGATACTCCGTATTTAGTAACGATTATTTGAATGCTAGAGTTGAAATGCAGGCGAGCATGATCTATAGCTTGAAGAAGAACGTAAAAAAATCACATGTATATAACCATGACTAAGAGAACTATAGTTATGTTACATTCGTTTCTTCTACCGATATATTTCTTTAATTGCTCATAGTAATTTTTTGCTTTGGTTGTTTTTTCCTCAACGTACGTAGAAATCCAAACTTCCAAACTGTCATCTCTTGTTGTCACGTTGCACATTGTGTCGAGGACTGTAAAACCCTTCTACGTGGCTGTTGAGATCTGCACGTGCTTGATATTTGGTTAATTTCTTTATTATGTTTTTGGTAAGTAAATTTATTTCTTACCTTTTTTACTCTATTTATTATTTGTCAGTTCTTCGAATGGAGCTCGATATGCAGAAGTTCCTGCAGAATCCTGATATGCATCAGTTTGAGTTCCCACACTTCCCTACTTCGTATCTTCGTCTTGCAGCCCACCGTGTTGCTCAACACTACGGTTTGCAGACCATGGTTCAGGATAATACAATAGATGCCCAAGGAATCCGGATCTTGGTAATAAAAAGACCCGAGAGTAAGTTTCCTGCAGTTTGTTTATCCGATGTACCAGCCAAGAAGTCAGAAAACGACAAACTTGATCAAATGAAAATTGTCATAAGATCGAGGCCTAAATCTTCCTCAAATGACCCCAATGAACTGGGCCTTAAACGCAGCCCAGTGAGATCTGTAGAAGAGAGGAAAGAGGAGTACGATAGAGCGCGGGCCCGCATCTTCAGTAGTCAAAGTAGTTCCGATTCCGAAGATGCCTTGACTCGTGTTTCTTCTGAAGGGAGGAATTTGAATGTGAATGTAAATGACGATGAAGTTTTGAGGAATTATGGTGTGGATGGTACTTCTAGAGTAGCAATTTTGAGGGACAGGGAGAAAGATCGCACTGACCCTGATTATAATCGCAATTATGTCAGGTACGTGCTTAGAAACTCGGTACTGATTGAGTAACGTATCAGATTAGCAAGATAAATTATTGAATCTTGTGAGATTCCAATTGTATAATTGCACTAACCAAAAATCAAACAAAACGTTTAATTAACTGAAATGTCAAACGTCGTTTTAATTTTACGGTACCATTCCGACCCTAGCTGTGATGGTGACCTTTTCTTTAGTTCGAATTTGGCAAAAGTCAAAAAAAAAAAAGAAAAAAACATTTAGTTCTTTCAGTTGACTTTTTAATTCAACTTGAATTAGGAAGATTAGATGTCGGGTGAGAGAGTTATGAATGAATGAACGAACATTGGCTACACTTTGATGTTTGGAGTTTTTCCAAATTCGAATTGTAACTCATTCACGCAACTCTTTCACCTGGCATCGAATCTAGATGATTCAAGTTGGATTAAAGGCCATTTCAAAGAAGTAAGAACTACAAATTTTGTATTTAAGTTTTGCTAAATTCGGACGGAAAAGGGTCAAAATTACATCTAAAGTCGAAACGGTATAAATAAAATTGAAACAACATTTAGCACATCCCATTAATTAACCATGACTTGTTTTATAAACCAAAGGCTGTTTTGGTAGATTATTGCTATTAATCCATTGCATCACATCTTTTTTCCCTTTTCTGGCATGGTGTAGATATGTTAAGAGCATTCCCGAGACATACAGCTTCAACCAAGGACCATTATTACATATGCCAAAATTCCAGCCTCCATTTGTGCATTACGATTCGTTTGTCCCACAGATGAGTCAGATGCCTGCCCCACAACCCTCGTTTAACTACAGGAGCCCTGTAATGAGCCCTTACTGTGCAATGGGATTGAACCATAGCTCTAGAGATGCCTTGTATGTCCAGTGGCCAACTCAATCCATGATGTATGCTGCACAGTCGTACGATCAACTAAGACATGCCTATTTTCAGGTAGTTCTCAGCTTCCCCGTCTATTTCTCGTTTTCTTAACTGCCATATTGAAATAACCAGTGGATTATATGTTATTCAAGGATACAATTAACGCGTATCTTCTCTTATTAGCTACAGATTTTTATGTTCCCTTTATTTTTTTAAATTAATGATTTGTGTTGGAATTTATAAAGTGATGATTTTATTGCAGGCGCCTACCTGTCAGCAGCCTCTAAGTTTTGATTACTCCCACAATCTCCGGTGATGGCTGCGCAAGTTAGAATCGGGGAATGTCTGTGTTACTTTAGGGAGGTCATTTGTTTAGGTGTATTAGTGTGTTGAAGACAGTTGCCATTTTGTTTTTTGTTTCATTTTTTGTTCTATCAGGTGATTTTGAAACTTCATTTTATGCACAAAAGTAATATTGTTTGTTGGATGACCAGACACATATCTCTATTCAGCTTCTTTGCTATTCTTGATTCTTACTATGTTGTTCTTTATTCGACAAGGCGTTATTATGGTAATGTACCTGCATTAATAGTGATTAGGCCATGCATTATAGCCCATAAAATAGTCGAACATGAGTAACGGGTGCTGTCGAAAGTACAACTTAAGTTCTTGTCGAAAGTATCGTTCAAAAAATCCAGACAGTTATAAAAATTCGCTTCAAAATCAGTTAAAAACCTCAACTCCACAGGAAACAAGGCTACTTCTCATGCTTTCTTGATCGCTTTTCGTCACGAAATTTTATTACATTGTATTCGATACAATCCATCGTACAACTGAACGTCTACTACATAGATCAAACTAACAGAGTGCTACCGAAAACACGATCACACTTCAGACAGATCAAATCAAAATTCACTGACAATAGAGCTTACATAAACACCAACAACAAGAGCAGAATAAAGAAACAAAAACAGTAATCAACCTATAGCATCAAGAACAACAGAGTAAAAAAACACAGCAAATTGACTTGGAACAAAAACTATGTCACTACTTATTACCACCCACCAAAGACTGGATTTTTTTGTTTTTTTCACAATGAAAAGAAGCCGAATTGTTCGACGATTATTAACATAATCAATCTTCACCGGTCGGGAACAAGGTGAGAACTTTCGAGCCATTACTGCTATGTATAGGCGGCATCGCCGTATTCCTCGGCTGCACCTGCTGCTGCTGCGATTGTCTCATAAATGGATTGTCAAATTGATGCCCCCCGTTGGGCGGTGAATTACCGAAATGCCGGAATTGCTGCTGCTGCTGCTGTGGGTACTGGTGGTGGTGGTGGACCACCGGCACAAACGGCATGAAGTGGTGGTCGGAATTCGCCCTACCCGGATGGAGAAAATGGGCCGGCACGGGCGAGCTGGCGAACAAGCGGTCGGTGGCGGCGTCGATGCCGGAGGCGGCGGCGGTGCCTCCGCCTCCGCCGCTGGAGATGCTCTGCATCCGCTTGAGGTAGAGGCGGTACTTCTGGAGATGGCTGGCGACGTTCTCTCTGGTGAGTCCGTCGACGCTCATGAGCTGCATAATGGTTTTGGGGACGGCGTTCTTGATCCCCAAATGGGCGACGGCGTCGACGAATCTCTTGTGCAGCTGTGGGGTCCACACGAGGCGGGGCCGTTTGAGGGTTCTCGCCGGCTCGTCCGACCCGCCTGCTCCGCCTCCGGCTCCGCTCAGCTCCGGGGAGTCGTAATCGGGGGATGAATTGGGCTGGGAGGAGACGGCGGTGGATTCCTGCGGCGGCGGCGGAGGCGGCGTGTGGTTGTGGTGGATGGTGTGGTGGTGGTGGTGGGGGGTGGGAATGTTGAAAGCGATAGCAAGATCGGGGGTGATTAGGGTTTGGGATAAGGGCATCAGCTCCTCCGGCGACGGCAATTCGTCTTCCCATTTGGAAAACCAATTGGAATCTTCTTCCCTCATCTCCGATTATTACAAATTAAATAATAAAAATCTCGTCTTTAGCAGAAGTTTTGGTATATCGAAGCTAACAAACAAGGAAAAAAAACCCTTTCATTTTTTTTACAGTTTCAAGATCTTCATAGTTAGAGAGAGAAAGAGAGGAGAGAGAGAGAGAGAGAGAGAGTGGGAGAAAGAACAGTTCTTCTTTTGGTGAAGAAAGATTGTAAGAACGGTTTCGTGTGTGGATCGAGGTGGATCTTGTTTTTTTCTTTTCTTTTTATTTCTTACATTTCAGCTTTTATTAAGGTTATTACTGTAGCCCTTTTATTCTCATTCTTGTGTACATTTTTCTTAGTACAGTTTACATTTTAATCAGTTAAAAACTCTATTCATATTTTCGGTAATATTACGAAAACCCCCCTCATGTTTAGGTAATTACAACCACACCCCTCAACTAAAGATCTTCTTACACGTCCACCCTTATCGTGTCAAATTCAACAAAAACTTGTAGATTCCGTGGAATGTTCTCTAGTTTGTACTCGTTTTGTGTAAAAACATAGTTTCTGATATTTACAAGCCAATTATGATCATCTTGTTTCAAAAATGTGCGAGCTCGAATGCGGTAAAAACGGATACAAACTGTAGAATAGTCTACTAAATTTGACACCGCAAGGGTTGTAATTACACAAACAGAAAGGGTCTTTTCATAATTTGACCGTACCTCAAGGGGGTGTCGGTAATTTACCCAACTATTTATTTACCATCACATCAACATATATAAAATTGCACTATATTTTCAATATCCAATGTTAACTACTAAACACTTAACATCATGAAAATCAAATCCAACACACCATCTCAATTTCAGACACTGATCAAGAAAAAAACAAAATATCTTTATATTTCTTCACACAATTAAAAAATTAAAAAAAATCAAAAAAATCAAAAAATACAATAAAAATCATTTATCAGTAGATAAATGAGTAGCATCCAAAAGAAATTTAGCTGGTGGCAAAACTGCAACACCTCTTCTCTCAGAAGCACAATATTTCTTATATACCCCTCTCAGCTTCTGCTGCTGTGTTTGTACTGCCATCCAATGAAATCTAACCAAAACCTTGGCACAATCCCTAATAAAAACAAACAAATTATTATTACAAAGAAATCGTAAACGACACGTCGAGTAATAAAAATCGAGTCTTTAGAAAAAAATTCTTCTTACGTTATCTGCGCTTCCGTAAAGCCCGTGTGCATTTCGAGCGTCTCGTTCCACAGTGGAGTCGTGTTCAACGTCGCCCTAGCTGCGTACACCGCCGATGCAGCAATCATCGAAGGGCTGTACGTAAGTATCTCATAGTTCATCATTCCCAACTCCGCAAGAAAGTACACCATATTCTCCACCTATCGATAAATTTATTAATTTTCAGACACGGTAATTTTTTTCAATCGTCGGATAATCGATAAAGTAAGTATTCTTACATCCAAGCCTGTCATGGAAGCTTTAATGAACCGGACGAGAAAAACGTAAGGCGTCGGGACAGTCAAATTCCACTCCAGTTCGGCTAAAATCCGTTTCTCCATAGTCAAGACTTGTTTGTTAGTGTAAGTTTTGTCCGAGATAGACACGAGCTCGTTAACCTGTGGGGCCCAAATTTCTTCGTATTTCGAAGCTATAAGCATCGAGCTCATCCCGACTAATTGAAGCTCCTTCATCGGAGTAGTCTTCGAAGCGAGGTATCGATCGATGATGTTAATTGTGAGGTAAAGTGTTTCGGGAGAAAGATCGAATTTTTGGTGTACTTGAACAAGCCAATCGATGAGTATCGCTCTCATTTTCTCGTTTATCTCGGGTTGTATGAACAAGTAACCATGAGCTCTTCCCTCATTCTATATATAACATCATATATAGACACAAAAAATCAGCCCAACATTTGAATAAAAAAAAAATATATATAAAAATAGACGAATTTCGGTTTAATTGCTTATTTCACCTCAGCTGACTTGTAGAACTTGTACATATCTTCGACATATTCGACAACAGCCAAGTCATTGTCCACGTCATCAGCATCAATGTCGACTATCTGAAGAGCAGCCTGCGAATCGAAAAAATATAAAATTAAATCATATACGATTTTTTTTTTAATTAATAAAAATCGACAACCGAATTATTCTAACAAAATTGACCTTGCTTCTAGCAGTGAGAGTTGAAGTAAGAGTTGGAGCTTTCTTTTTCAAAGACGACATTTCTTCGACCGGCTTATCGTTTTCGTTGCGAATAATGATAACCGGCTTTTTTGCCTTGTCACCAACTACATTAGAATCGGAGCTACTCTCGATTTTCTCCTCGGGATTAGGTTTGCTAATGACAACAGCTTTCTTTTGTATCGGCTTTTTCGCCACGGCTTTCTTCTCCTGCAGAGCCCCGTTCGGTACCAACAAACTCTGTAAATTCAAACGAATTAATAAAAACACATTATTTCAAAATAAATAAATAAAAAAAACTAAATATAATTAACAAGAACATGTACAAATTTCAAGAAATGAACCTTGTTTTCGATTGCTGTGGTATGTGTATTATTCTCGAGTAACTTAGCACGAAAACCCCTGAAAATTTAAGCACGCCGAAAGAATATAACACATGATCAAGAATCAATAATCACATTCAAGATTAGTTAATTTAATTAATTAATTTTTATTTTTATTTTGTAAGAGATTAGTTGTTACCTTGTAATTGGTCGAGAAACCTGAGGAAGAAGCGGCTTGGCCTCTACACCACCGCGAACTGTTACTACATTCCCTATATCTCCAAGGGCACGGCGGTTCTTCCTCTCCGCCGCCATGTTCTTGGGCTTAATACCTGCCGGAGCTACTGCCTCTCCTGTACGGTACAAAAATTTCATCACAAAAAAACAGAAACCCCAAAACAAAATTTACGAACAAAACGCCGTTTTCGATCCAAAAACTGAATGAAAATCGTTTAATAACAAGCTAGAAAAATAAAAAATCAAGAATCTGATCATAATCGTTTCTTCAATCCGATTCTTGAAAATCAGGCCATTTTCAACGGTAAAAAAAAACCAGACAGAGAATAAACACACACACACACACACACACTCTCACACACACACACGCGCACGCACTTCTATAATCACAGATGAATTTCTGTACCTGCTTTCTGTTGCTGGATCACCTGCCTTGAAGCCATTACTCAAAATCTTTGAAAATAGATTGAACCCTCTGTTTCTCTCTCTATCTCTCTCCCTTTCTCTGTTTCTCTCTCTATCTCTCTCTCTGTTTCTCTGTTTCTCTCTCTATATCTCTCTATCTTTCTGATCTCAGAGAAATAAGCGCCTTCTTGAAGAAGAGGAGTAGTACAAGGCAATTTATATTTTTACTTCTCCAATCTCCAACGGTCTTATTTTGTCTCATTCTGCAGCCGTTGGATAGAAGTAGATCCGACGGTCAATTTATGTTTCCATAAAAAGATCAAAACGCTGCGTTTAGCAGTTGAGCTCCAAATGAATAAATTGTGTGGGCCCATATATATTTATTCTTAATCCTTCAGGCCCAATTCAGAAATGGACAGACATTCGTCGGACTCATTTCCACTGTTGCTAGTCAAAGGGCATTATAGTCTTTTAATCAATAGGGTAAATCCGTCAATTTACATCCCCAAACGTTTCCTTGAAATCTACGTCACACTTTTTTTTGAGCATCCAATAACAGCCGTTAGATTACTGCAATCGCCTGCCATCGAATACCACCCAGAAATAGGAGGGAAAAAATAAGAGCCGTTGATCTCTTTCCACAAATATATAAATTCCCTCTTTGGCTCAACATTTCGTCACTTTCTCACTTCATCGAATCGAGTAGCTATTCTTCACTCCATCGGATCTCCATTTTCCCTGTTCTTCATCTGCAAAATTTAACGGTATACTTCTTCTTCTTCTCCCTCCTTGTTTTTTTTATTTAATGAAAATTTAGATCAATTTGTGATAATCTGCATTTTCTTAATTGTTCTGTTTTTATGGAATTTTATATTTCGTGGAATTTGAGGTTGCATTTTTCTGTAAATGCTGGTGGATCGTGTTGAATTCGTAGATCGAGATATTTATCGCATATTTCTGGAGGTTTTTCATGGTTTCTGAAGTGATTTAGTGTCGTATTTCCGATTAATGAATGAGGATTAATATGCTAAGTCGACTGTTGCAGAAATCTTCAGATCCAATTGAGATCTGTCAAGTAATTAATATTTGATGTGATTATTAGCAATTTTCTGGCAGAAATCTATGAGTGAACTCAGTTTTTGACTCAGCTATTGTAGTTTAATGCTAGTTTTTACACTCTTCTGGTTATCGACTTGTCGTACGTGTTGGTTTTAACTTTCATACCACAGATTTGGCTGCTTATTAATGACTGTGTGTTATAAATATTTACGATGTAAGAATTCAAGTTAGTACGGGTGTAATTGCGAATTTACGAGACAAAGTCTCAATTTCATTGATAGTTGAACGAAATGCTGTAATTGATTTCTGATATTTTTCTGGAATTACAGGAAAATGAGAGAAATCCTTCACATTCAGGGAGGCCAATGCGGGAACCAGATAGGTTCAAAGTTTTGGGAGGTTGTCTGTGAAGAGCACGGGATAGATCCAACTGGGCGTTATGTTGGTACTTCAGATGTGCAAATCGAGCGTGTCAATGTGTACTACAACGAGGCATCATGCGGCAGATTTGTGCCCCGTGCAGTGCTCATGGATCTTGAGCCTGGAACCATGGACAGTGTTCGAACTGGTCCATACGGTCAGATCTTCAGGCCCGATAATTTTGTTTTCGGTCAGTCTGGTGCTGGAAACAACTGGGCGAAAGGGCACTACACCGAGGGTGCTGAGCTGATTGACTCGGTTCTTGATGTTGTCAGAAAGGAGGCTGAGAATTGTGACTGCCTTCAAGGTAAATTGGATAACATATAAATTTGGATTTTACTAGTTTCTTGCCTCAATTTTCAATGTAATTGTTTTTTTTTAAATTATGCTTCATTTTTGTATGTAGGTTTTCAGGTGTGCCATTCACTTGGTGGAGGAACTGGTTCTGGAATGGGCACCTTGCTCATCTCGAAAATAAGGGAAGAATACCCTGATAGAATGATGTTGACTTTTTCTGTCTTCCCTTCACCCAAGGTTTCGGATACAGTGGTCGAGCCTTATAATGCGACCCTTTCGGTGCATCAGCTTGTTGAGAATGCTGATGAATGCATGGTGCTTGACAATGAAGCTCTGTATGATATTTGCTTTAGGACGCTCAAACTTACCACTCCTAGCTGTGAGTATATTTCATCGATAGTCAATGTCTTTAGGTGTCGTATTGGTTGGGAATTTATTTTTATCTGCTCTGCATCGCTCTTAGTTCTTTTTATTAATTGGTAAACTGATTTATGCTTGAGTTTATATTGGTTCTAGAGAATCACCCGGTGAAAATTTGAATTTTGTTTTTGTTTTTGTTTTTGTTTAATATCTAGTTGGCGATCTCAACCACTTGATTTCTGCAACCATGAGTGGAGTCACATGCTGCCTCCGATTCCCCGGTCAACTCAACTCCGATCTACGAAAGCTAGCAGTCAACCTAATCCCATTCCCCCGTCTGCACTTTTTCATGGTCGGATTCGCCCCTCTCACCTCCCGCGGCTCACAACAATACCGCGCTCTCACCGTACCAGAGCTCACCCAACAAATGTGGGACTCCAAAAACATGATGTGTGCAGCCGACCCCCGCCACGGCCGCTACCTCACCGCCTCCGCCATGTTCAGAGGCAAAATGAGCACAAAAGAAGTAGACGAACAAATGATCAACGTCCAAAACAAGAACTCATCCTATTTCGTGGAGTGGATTCCCAATAACGTGAAATCGAGCGTCTGCGATATTCCACCAAGAGGGCTTTCAATGTCTTCGACATTTATCGGAAACTCGACTTCGATTCAAGAAATGTTTAGGCGAGTGAGCGAGCAGTTCACCGCTATGTTTAGAAGGAAAGCTTTCTTGCATTGGTACACTGGTGAAGGTATGGATGAAATGGAGTTCACCGAGGCAGAGAGTAATATGAACGATCTCGTGTCTGAATACCAGCAGTACCAGGATGCTACAGCGGACGATGAAGGCGAGTACGAGGATGAGGAAGAAGATGGAGTGGAGGACATTTGAAGAATATATAAGATAAGATCTCTTTTTGCCAACTCCCTTTTATCTGATTTCTTGCATTTTATGTGCTTTGTTTTTTTCTTGAGTATGTAATTTGGGAATTTCTTATATCTGTGTTGTTGTTGGTTGTTTTTTCCTGGCTGTGTTTTGATGTGTCTGGAAAACTTGCTTTCTCTCACTTATTGCCATTATGTGTTTTATTACTACATATTAATGTGCTAAACAACATTTGCATTCTGCTGTGAAAGTCTATTGATGTTGGATTGGTAGTGCAGTTTTTAAATCAATTAGTAATCTGAGCTTGAAAATTAAACAATTTAAATGGTTTTTTTTTTCTTTATTTAGATAGAATTAGGGGTGGAATCGGACAAATTGGATAGAAATTAGCATTTTTGAAAGGAAAAAAAATCCAATTTTTTTTTGAAGTGGAAAATTAATTTCAATTTCGTTCCAAGAAAATCAGAAAATCAGAATTTTGGAAATTGGATCGAAAAAACTTGTTCAAAAAATTGAAATTCCGATTATGTCCGGATCGGGATTGGCATAATTCCAAAATTCCAAATTTTTAGTCATCTTTAATACAAAATGCATAATTTTTTTGATATTATAAGTGCAATGTTTTGGAAATTAAAATTGAATCGAACATCGGAATCTATGTTCCAATTCCGTTCCGAAAATGAATCAGAAAAATAGGAATCGGAACCTTTCTGAAAACTAGAAAATATTGGATCAAAATAAGTGGAATTCGAAATTTCCGTTCCAATTTTCACCCCGGATCCAATAGTATACCAATTGACTAATTTACTATTGTAAATTATTTGGCGTTCGTAGTGGTGGTAGGTTGATCTTTGCACTATGTTTGGGCTTTGTTCGGCTTCTTAAACTGTTGATGGGCTGTTCTATAGGCCCATTAATCTTAATAATAATTATATCAATTTTAAGTTCATTATGGATTATTATTTATTACTATAGTCAATAGAACATTTGCTTCAACCACTCCTAATTACAAAAAGAAAAATTAAATAAACAAATCAAAATAGAACACGTGCTTGGTGTCCATGTCGGCAAGACCCAATAAATAACATGTGATTATTTGTAGGGTCACACAAATACAAAAGTCAAAGTATATGTGATAATGTAGATTTGTTAAAGTCAAAAGGTGTCGTGTAAAGATTCTATGTGGTAAAAAATATGTAGGCATTCATTTTAGTTTACTTTGTAATATAATATAATCAATGTTATAATCATAAAAAAAAAGACCATAGTATTAAGAAATCAGTGCAGCACACAAAAAGCAAATGAATCCATTATTGATGATGGAAGACAGCAAACTTGGAACCACTATGGTAGTAGTACTCATGGAGCCCGCATGGGTGTAGCTCAACTGGTTCCGGAGGTGGTAAGTTGGTGCAAGGTCCTAGGATCGAATCCTGGCAGCCGCAGTGTGGGAATTTCAACTTCAATGAGTTGGTTCCTTGTGGGCACCAGGTCCGGGTCCGCTACCTTAACGGGCCGTTGAGTTACCATGATTTACATTCCTCCATCAATCCTTGTCGGGCCAAGGGATGGGGGCCCTGGGGGCGAGGGATTTCGCCTTTTGGTGCAAGTAGTACTCATGGATTTGTTACTCTTACCTTTTCTTCATTTAGGGGCAATTTGCTAAATACTCCTCACCACTAATATCCTTTAAAATCAGGGTATTCATATTTTCGCATTTTGTTTAAAAATTCTCGGACAACTTAGTTATAGAGTTTGATTAGAAAATAATTATTTTAAACTGAAAATACATTATTATTCTCCGACTTATCCGTCCTTAGAACCACATTCACTAAAAATATTATGGCATTTTATCCATTCTTTCGCCTCTCCTCATTAGTTCCATGCCGTCGACTGCCTAATTTCCGCTCAAATATTACTGAAAAAAAGTTACGTTCATCTAAAACAAATTCTCCATCTAAGGTGTCTATTTTCAGTCTAAACAGTCTATTCTTAAGACCACCACAATTCTATTGTGTAGTTTATTGCAATACAATAAAGTGTGAAATACATAATTACATGAAATCAAAATTATGTAACATAGGAGATTGGAAGGGAGAGTTGTTACTTGTTTTAGTTGAAGAGAATAAGGATAAACATGGTACCCAACCCTTATCCATTTACAATATCAAAGTGGAGATTTGACAACAAATAAGATAAGACAATACAAAAACACTTGCACAAAAATCATTACCTAACATTATATATTTCCAAGCCTCAAATTCTATTTACTAAAAAATCCTTTTATTTTTTTATAATTTCATCCATCCTTCATAATTTGTAGATTTTTGCATTAACAATCTTTTCTAAAGGATCGGTGCAAGAAATTTACAAACTGGAAAGGTGTATGTTATTTCTAAAAAATGATGGGTCTTTTTTGTAAATAGACTTTACCTCAGGGATATGGTTGTAATTAAGACTTTATTTTTTAATGTTTTAGGAGATAAAATAAAATAAAAGATAATATGGTCCACCTTATTTTGTCTGGTCTACCGTCCACCTAATTTTATATTTTCGGACTAGATTCTAATATTTCATCTTCAAGAGAATGCACATTGTTATTTTCTTTTAATCATCCTCACTTTTATAATCATTAAAATGATGTCCTATTGCCAGCTTTTAGTTACAATTAAGTTGAAGTTTTTTTAGAAACGACAAAATAAAATAAGAAAGAAAAAAGAAAAAAAGTATGGCAATAAAGAAATACAGTTGAATAGTAGAGTAAAAGCTACCTTTTTTTAGTACCCTTTTGTTCATGCATCAACATTCAATACTAATTCTTCACAAATAATTCAGCCAAATGTGGGGTCAAAACTTTGCAGACCTTTGAACAAATCCAAAAAAAATATATTCATAATTGGTTTATATTATGCTACATCGGGTGAAATACACCAGATATATCGATTATTCATATACACACACCCACGTTGGTGTGTGTAAATCAACGGTAAATATCGAATAAATCATGTATGACGAGTTTTGTCTATAAAATATTGGAATACTTCTTCACTCAATTTCATTAAACTTATTAATCACTATTGAGTAATTACATAAATGTCTATGTTATAAGTTACAATTAAGTTAATTATCAACTAATAAATTGCTACATCTGTTCTGAATTAAACAATACCGCCAAAGAAAATCGATCAATCGACCGGAATTATCAATTCCCGTGACTAAATTAATCCGAAATATAGTCAAACTCGACAATTATTTGGAACTACATTCAGCAATTACGTAATCTATTGTTGCGAGGCCTCGTATGTTGGTTCTTCTTCTGAAGATTCTGCTTCGGGAGATCGTTCAACTCCACTACTTGTATTGTTCTCTGCTTCTTGGCTGTTGTTTCGGAAATATTATAACTCGAATCAAATTTAACGCCATAATCGTCACACTTAATAAACTATCATTGATTTTAATTTATTTTTTTTGGCGAAATTTTGCTAAATTTCAAAGATAAGGCAAACTAACCGTTCGCAATTTCCATGTATCGCTCCTGTAGTTTCCTCTTGGCACCCTCTAATTTCGTCTGAACCGAATCCTCATTGCTAAAATTTAATTTCTAAAACAAGAAATTTTTTTATAGCCGTAAGATTAATAATCGAAGTAGCAACTACAAAATACCGATATTTTTGTATTCAATAGTCAATACTCACCGCCTGCTGATGATTAGGAACCGGTTTCTTCTGCACTGCGTCTCCATCGGATTTTTGCTGTACCTTCGATTGCAAAGCTACTTTTGGTCTACCTGGACCAGATTCTCCATTGTGGGGCCCACTCGGTTTAACGGGGCGAACTTGTTTGTTCAATACAGATTCTTCGATGCTTCGCTCTCTGCCATTTTCTCGGTTCTTGTCGAATTCCCCACTGTTTTGCGGATCTGAAACAATATTCCAACCATAAATCATAAACCTTCTTTTCGCTTTTCTTCTTAGTGGGGAATTCGAATAAAGAACCGAATGGCAAAAAGTCGAAGCGAAAAAACAGAGTATAAAGTTCAAGGAATAGTCAAGGATCAAGATCAAGAATCTCACTTCCATTATCATCAATGCCATCAAAGAACTTTGTGGATCACGATCGAGGAACAATAAGAAAAAGGAAATTTACGTCAGCCCATTAAGAAAAAAGATTCCAAAGTTGCTCAACTTTTTTATAAACGAGAAAGAGAATATAATAACACCTTAGAAAACTCCATTGAAGTGGGAGTAGCAAAGAAAGCTCCTTCATCCAACGGGGGAGATGGAAGCCCTGCTTCTTCTTCCTCTTGTTGAACGGCCGATGTTTTCCCACATTCTGTTGTAACATCTGCACCTTCCAAATACGATTAATTCGTTAATGTCAATTTTAGCAAATTTTACGTTGCTATAAAAACAAAACTTCGAGTCATAAAAAAATACCCGATGTGGCTGCTTTAGCATCAGCCCACGCATCATCAACCATGCTTTTCCAATCCCTACATTTCCGAGCAAAGGATCAGATTACGGCACCAACAAAAATATTAAAATTAAAATAACTTAATTTAAAGATTATTCACTACACGAGAATAAAGCAACGAATGAAATTACTCGAACAGATTAAGATCAAGATTCGTGCTATCAAAGCCGTTCTTTTTAGGCTAATATTTCTCGAGAAATCTAAGAGAATATACATTATACCAAGTCAAATTAACTTCATTATCAAACAACATATACTTTTTTTAGAATTTCGAAACGAGAAACGTACTTGACCAATGTCTTAACAAGATTCCGAATTTCCAGCGATTTATGCTTCCGTAGACTGTTAACGGTTTTTCCAATCCCCGTTACCTGAATTCGATAACAAAACCATCAGTTCCGAATAATCACAAAATGTAGATCAAATAGCTAACAATTAATTAGCTTCTAAGACAAATTAAACACCACTAATCACCTTCAAAATCTCGACCGACAAACGCATCAACTGAAGTCTCCTTAGTGAATCGAACAACGCTTCATCAGACTGTCGATAAAAGAACAGAACATATTGAATTAATCTATCAATAATTTCAATACTAAGAACCAAACAGCAATGAATGAATGATAAAACATGCCTCTTGTTCACTTCTCTCAATAATTTCTTTGATCCTTACAACTTCTTCGAATAACTGATTCTCCTCATCGATCAAATCCGTCAGTAAAACGACGTCGTCGTCTCCATAACTGTTGTCGCTAATCTGATTCACATTCATTACCATAACCTCTCTGTGATAATCATCGTCTTCGTCGTAATTCCCAGCGCCGTTCACTTTGCTCTCCGTTGTCCCACTTTTGAGCTGATTATCATCGCAATCGCCGCCGCCGCCGCTTTTGGTTGAACCGACGGCGGCGCACGGCGGCACCGACAATTCGATTCTGTCGCAGCCGAAGCACTTGGTGGATTTGCAAGTGAAGAGCATCTCGGCGATTCGGTCCCGATTCAACTTGAAATCGTAGGGGAAATCGGAAGCGGCGACAATGATCGCGTGCTCGATTATACTGAATATATCGGAATTCGCCCCCCTGAAATAATCCCTCCACTTATCGAGAAGAGCCGCCGGGGTGTTGGCCGCCATGGCGAATAGGGGAAGAAGAGGAATCAAGCTAGAATTTTTTTGCCTAATCGGAGAAAGGGTTTTGAACTTTTGGAGTATGCTTGTTGGAAAATCAAAGGGGGAAAATCCAGAGGAAAAGGTTTGTGTGCGGCTAATTGAGGGAAATTCGGACGAGAGAAAAAGAAAAAGCGACTGACTATATATATTCTCTCTCTCTCTCTCTCTCTCTCTAAATTCTTTCTCTCTCTAGAATACGATACAATGATTCGTTGTAGGATTTTGTTTTAACCCTTTTTTCCGGGTTTCCGTGGGGTTAAAGATATATAATATTTATTTTTCTTCATTTTATTTTTAGGTTTATTATTTATGATTTTATTTTGTATAATAATATTTTCATTGTATATATTTGAAAACAAACTATTGGGTAAAATAGCAATTACCTGGCGGTTTGAACTTTGTGGATGTAACCCTTGTATTTTCAATATAGTTATGACTTATGATCCCTTTAATTTAAGCACAATATAGTTATGACTAGGGGTGTAAACGAGCCGAGCTCGCCTCTTTTGGCTGGCTCGAGCTCGAGCTCGAGTTTATTTTGTCGAGCTCGAGCTCGAGCCCATTGTCTTTTTTTTTTTTTTTTTAATATTTTTTTAATTATTATTTTATTATTAAAAATTATTTAAAAAAATAAAAAATAAAAACTAAATTGTAATTATATATATTTTTAATATTTGTATTTATTTCTATAATATTTTACATTATTATACATTATTTAAATAAAAATAACATATAAAAAATAAAAAAAATAATAATAAATCCGGCTCGCGAGCCGGCTCGCGAGCTCATGAACAACTAAAAACCGGCTCGAGCTCGGCTCATCAGAAAGCTCGAGCTCGCGAGCTCGAGCTCGAAAATCTCGAGTCCGAGTTCGAGCTTTTTACGAGCCGGCTCTTCGAGCTCACGAGTCGGCTCGGCTCGTTTACACCCCTAGTTATGACTAATAAAAATTATATCTTCCTCTAATGAACATGATTATTTACCGAGTGGAATAACATAGGAGTTATGTACTTGTATTGATAGTACAAGAGGGTCATGTGTGCAAAAAAACTCAAACCAGAGTGGAATAACATAGGAGTTATGTACTTGTATTGATAGTACAAGAGGGTCATGTGTGCAAAAAAACTCAAACCACAGGGGGGGTTAAGTGTTATTTATCCAAAACTATTTTATGAGATGTTTATATGTTTATAAGTGGAATATAGGGTTGTCTACGGTATCCAATTTCTGGCGGAAGGCATAACGAAAAATTCCGATTAACGTAATATGGATGTTCTGTTTCGGTCGACTTCGCTGGATTGGACAAAAGCAGTGCTCAAGTCGTCAAAACACGAGTTTTGTTATTGCGACTGGAATCGCATTGTTACCATGTCTCGACTCATTAAAAGGATTCACGTTTGCTCTTGAGGTGTATTAGAGATATATTAGAAGCTAATTGACCTAATACGTGGGTCGGGTTCGGGCCGGGTTCGGCGAAAGGGTTTATGTACGGTTGGCCAAGGTGGTGTGATGAACCAAAATACAATTATATATAATAAAAAAAAAAAAAATCTCAGAGTGTAAAATAATTTGGAACCAAAAAATTCCATAAACCAACAAATGTAATTTAACTGTGGTCTGTATTAAACGACACCGTTTCATATTGTTCACAGGCAAAAAATGCTAATACACCAATGGAACAGTCACATTCCATCAGTATACATCAAAGCATACAACTTCACAACCCAAAAAATAACTCAAAAAACATTAGGGTTCTTTTTGGTATTTTGCAATTATCAGATACCACTTCAAAAAACAAGACAAACTCTTGTCCAAAATGTTAAGTTATCAAAAATCAAGACTCACAAGTTCATCAAGGCACTGAGATCTTCTCTATTAATCTCCCTCTGTTCCTTTTGCCCCCGTTTCCCGAAAGCTTTCTTCGCCAACACTCTCTTCTTTTCCTGCAATTGCAATATTCTTTCCTCTATAGTATCTTTCGCAATCAACCTCACAATCTTTACATCGTCTTTTTGACCGATCCTATGAACTCTGTCCATAGCCTGTTCTTCAACCCCAGGATTCCACCACGGTTCCATTAAATAAACCGTCGAAGCAGCTGTAAGATTTATTCCCGCATTTGAAGCTTTTAAACTCGCAAGCAAGATCGTGGGCCCCACTGGAGCTGGCACTCCAAAGTCTTTAATCACTTGTGCTCTCTTTTTAGCGTTCATCGAACCGTCTAGGCGAATCACGTTAAAACCAGCTTCTTTCAATGGCTCTTCGAGTAAAAGAAGCATTTTTCGGAATTGAGAGAAGATGACTGATTTAGAAGATGGCCTTGCTTCTCTTGCTGCAGAGAGGAGTTTTAAGAGTGCGGTAACTTTGGATGATAATCTTGACGAAGAACCCTTTTCGGTAGTAGATGAGTGACAAGATTCTGGAGGGGCTTTGAAGAGGTCGGATTCGGAAAGTGGGTGGCGGCACATTGGACAACAGGGTTTTGTTCGTTTGATTGTTTTAAGGATGCAGGATTCGCAGAAAATGTGAGCACAGCATGTGATTATGATGTCTGTGGGTGGAGATATGCAGATTGGACAGTCGAAATCTTCTCCATCTTGTAACACTAAAAGCAATTTCTGCAGCAATGTTGGGTTGTTCGCCACATCTGCATAGATTCCATCAGTATCAATCAATCACACGTAAAAAAATAAAAAATCAACATAAATAAGTAAACAAACTAAAATACAATGACACAGAGTATAATGTAATCAAATCTGAGAGGGTACCTTCGATTTGGCTTGAAGGAAGTAGAGCTCTGAGATCTGCTGGGCAGAGGGACAAATCACTGCAAATTTGACGAAGCCTTAAAAGTATACTAAGAACATTAGAATAGTTTTTGACAACACTTTCATCGGAAATGTAGTTTTTAACAATTTTGCCGGCCTCATCTTCCATCTGATCATAAACCTTGCGCTCTTCTTCGTGGAGGTTCACGAGAAAGGTCTCGATGATTTTAGTTGGCAGACCAACCATGGCTTTATCTTTTGTTCTCCTCAAAGATATAGTTGCCATAAGAACCTGAAAGCCCAACGCATAGGAATATATTGTGATATCATAGATACATATCTAAAGGGCAGATTAGAGAGATTAAGTCTTGATCTTCTTCTTTTTTCTGTTCTCGAACTTGTACAGCATAACATTTTGGGAAAAGGAAAACATTAAACAAAAGTACGAATAAGAAAGTGTCGATCTCAAATACTAAAGATGGTTTCATGTGAACTGACCTGCAGCCGAGAGATACCGTTCTCATCTCCTTGAGTAAGTGGGCGTTGTATCAGACTATTCCAAAGGCTTTTCATTGAAAGGGGTTCAAACTTGAGAAAAGCCACCAAGGAAAACAAATCAAAAGAGTTATTTTGCACGGGTGTCCCTGTAACAGCCCATCTACGCTTAGCTTTCAGATTAGTGACCGCTCGACTTTGTTGAGTGTTTACATTCTTAATCACGTGGGCCTCATCCAATATAACTCGTCTCCACTCAATCTTCTTAATGGGAGATCCTTCACAAGATTCTTCACTAGCTAGTGTACTGTATGTTGTCAGTACAATATCGTGCTTCCCAAGCTCTGTCGCATCTTTAGTCCGTTCACCATAGTACATGTACACCTTAAAAGTGCCTTGTCTTGTGTGTTCTTCTAACTGTGTTATCCATGACGAAAAGACAGAAGGGGGACAAACAATTAGTGTTGTCTTTGGCTCCAAAACAGAGGATTCACCCAAGGCGGGCCTTTTTCCCATTTCCTTAGCATTAAGATCCTCGGTTTTTCTCTTTTTTCTTGAATTATCAGCCTTTCTGCTCCCTCTTCCCCTCTTTGATTTTTTATCAAGAATTGGATTATATTCCTCTTCACCCAATTCCTCCTCATCTTCACCATTAATATTCCCGGATGATTGTCCGAGATGAGCCCATTTATCAAGAGCAATCAATGAGAGCAATGTAAGAGTTTTGCCCAAGCCCATGTCATCTGCAAAAATGCCACCTTGCAAAGGATCGGGTCTTGTATCAGTCTGGAAATTGGTCAACTCATTGACATACACCCCGTTTTTTTCTTCCCAAAAAGGAGGCAGATCGCATGAATTTTCCCTACTAACTAACCATCCCAGTCCTTCCTTCTGATGAGAAAAAAGCTCTGATTTTATCATGTCTTTTGGTGGGTCCAACGCCTCCGATACCCCTTGCTTACCAACTTTCATGTCCAACAGTTTGAATATCTCATCGACACTCTTCTCCCCAAGAGTACTTTTTGTCTCTTTTACAGCCATTGCCTCTGATAATGTGAAAGAAGCATTATTATCCGCAATTAACTGCAGCCCGCCTCCCGCAATGGCCAACTTTACTCTCTCAAATTCCTCTATCCTAGCAAAAATGTGAACTTGACAGGGCATCTTGAATCTACTTCCCTTGCCTGGTGGTTTTGGGACAATACCTGTCACACACTCGACACATGTTAAAGTCAAACAAGAACTGAATAGAGAAGGAGAAAACGAACCTTTAAGCTCAACGATAAGTGATAGCTCAAGTTCAGATACCAACATATAGCAAGAGTACAGTCACTTCAGGGTAAAAAAGTTACGAGACCAAAAGGTGTGATTTTCTATTCACCCCATCAATCTTCACACACATAATGCAAACCAACCCACTCCAAATCCATCGTGAATATGGCACCGAAATAACAATTTTACCACATGCCCTTAAATAAACATAAAATGATCGAATTAAGAAGAATTGGAACAAACAATCAGTGAACCTCATCCATTAAATCCTAATTCCATTCCAAATTCACCAGTAATCGAAGCTCACAGACACTCAGAAAAAGTGCAATCGCAAAAATTAATTTCCTAAAAAGGAAAAAAAAATTAAACAATCAAAATAAACCCACACAAAATCAAATGAAAAGTAAAAACAAAGCACCTTCAACGGTAATCAAACCACCGTCGATCAGAGGGGACAACACAGAGGCGGCGGAGCGCTCGACGTGGCCCACCTGAACCGACCTCATGTTCAGAACTTTGATAGCGTTCTCGTCGTATGGGTTCAACTCCTCCCGGACCAACCCCACGATTTCCCGGCCGCTGATGATTCCTTCGTAGTGGCGGAGCCCCACCACATTGACAATCACAAAGCCGACGAGAAATGTTTCAACCGGAGACGACGGCCACCGGTCCAAGCTCATGAACGCCTCCACTGGGTCCTGCTGATCTTCAGATTCCGATTCAATTTCCACCATTTGTTTTCTGCGGGCAGCTGGTTTTCGATCCTGATTTCGATTTCGAGGTTTAATTTTGATTTTTGGAGAGGGTTTTGAAGAGGGGATTTTTGTAGGGTTTTGATTTTGATTTTTCTCTTCTCCAATCCGAACGGTTAGTTTTTGGAGAAAATAAGGTTTTGAAAAAAGGGAATAAGGCGGGTCTAGAAAGGGACTGGGGATGACACACGTCACCACTGTGGGTTTTATCAAATTAAGTAATTAATTAATTCATTCATTAAAATATTATATTTAGTAGGTGAATATTATGATACAGTAGAACATCGATAAATTAATAGCCCCGTAAATAATTTTTTTTTCCATTTCCAATTTAAAGAGAACGTGTTAAATTAATAATTTGCTAAGAAAATACATATTCAAGAATTAAAAAATTCATATATAATTTACTAAATTAATAGAATTTTAATGGTTTCAATTGTATTTTTTTTTTTTGAAACAAGTTTCAATTGTATTAATTTCTCTATATTTCAATTTGATGGAGGATTTAAATTTAATTTAATATTTTTATTTTCTTATATGAATTTTCCACCCAATAAACATTTTTTTCCACAGCATAAAACTGGGTGGGACAATCTTTGAACTTTCAATTAATATTTTTAAAGGCAAATTACGCAAGGTTAAATTACGAAAAAAATCTCTTATGTTTGGGTATTTATGATTATTCCGTTCAACTATGTATTGTCTTACGGGTCGATCCTTACGGTGTCTAAATTTACCTACTAAATGAGAATTCTTTCGTAACATAATACATAGTTGAGCGAGTAATTATAATTATCCAAATAAGAAGAATTTTTTCGTAATTTGACCTTACATCAGGGTCTGACAGTAATTTGCCCTATTTTTTTTAATAAATTAACTGAATTAATTTCAATAATTCGATTTAATAAAAGAGGAGAAAATTTAAGAGTTTTACTAAAATTTAAGATACATGTTAAATGGTGATTGAGGGGTAAGTTTTACGAGTATTATAGTTTAGGGGTGCAAAATGTATTTAACCACTTCAGAGAATACCGGGACAAAATTATACAAAATTTCATTCAATTTTGGGCTCTGTTTGGCCCGGTTTAGGGGGCCTTATTCCCCACAAAAGAATTGTGATTCTCAATTTGGAAATTTAAACAAACACAAACTTATTTTTAGGTATAGAGTGAAAAGATTTTTTCTAAAATGAGCCAAACACAGCCTTCCTCCCCATTCTCATCCTCCTTCAACAGAACAAACATTCTAAAGGGAGGAGAAAATGGGAACACCAGGTAACGTGGTCCCCGCATCGACAATGAAAAGATTCCCCGTGACCTGCTTGGAAGAATCATGGATCAAGTATCGCAAGAGTGATGTCAGCGCTGGATCCAACGTACCGTAACTTCTCAGAGGAACCGTTCTTCTTTCCACGTTTTTTAGCCAATGCTTCTCCACTAGCCCTTGTGTTATCTCCGATTTGAAAAGCCCCGGCGATATCGAGTTCACTCTTATTCCATAAATCCCCAATTCCAATGCCATTACCTAATCGAGACACAAATCAAAAGCAAGACAATGTAATGAACCTGTCTATTCTATTTCTCGTCTTATAACTCATAGACGAGACGAAAAATCTCTCTAAATCATTTGAAATTTGAAAGAAAGCTCATTAAAACCATCCTTCTTCTTTATTTCTTATCACTTTTATTCTTATAACAACAAATCGTACTTCACTATTCAAAACATAACAAATCTCTACGTAAAAATAACAGATTCTTGAAATATGGTGGGGGCCATGGCCCCCGAGGTCGATTCAAATCACATGTCGAAAAAATCGAGAAAAAAAATAAATACCTTAGTCATTGTGTTGATGGCGGTTTTGGAGCAAGCATAAGCGAGGCCACCGGGTAGTTGACCACGTTCGAGACCGGCAATGGAAGAGATGCTAACGAGGGACCCGCTTATCTTAGCATCACGCATACGCGTGCATACGTATTTCGAGACGAGCCATGTTCCGGTTAGGTTTGTTCTCATCGTAATGTCCCATTCCTCCTCCGTCAAATCAAGTGGAGTGTGGATCTTACCTACGATTATAATACATTTTTTGTGAAATCGTACAAGATCGAGTGATCGAATAAGCAAACACAAGCTAATTTATATGTCTTATTTATTAGATATTTAGAATCATATAAACTTATGACCTCGTTTGGTTTCTGAAATAAGATTGGGCTAAGATTAAATAATCCTATAAAAACCAAATAAATAATCCTCCAATTAGTCAAAGATTAGTCAAAATTTCTGATGGGAATTATTCAAATCCGTGGAGATCTGTACAACCAAACACGGCACTAGCTATTCAATCAAGTTAATTGCATTTTAATTTAATTGATCTGAACAAGGATTAATAAAAAAAACATAAAACAAATTAATCTTCGTTGAATTTTGTTTTTGATTTGTTCATGTTTAATTCTGACCTCTAATACCAGCATTATTGATCAAAGCGTCGATTCGTCCAAACGCAGCCCAGGCTTTCTGAACGGAAGCTTCAATGGTGGGCCCGCTTGCGCTGACGTCGAGCTCCACAGCCGCGGCTCTCGGTTGGTGTTCTGGCGAGCCGATCCCGGCGCCGTTTATCTCGTCGCACAGTGACTGCAGCCGGTCCGTCCTCCGAGCCGCGGCTACGACTCTGCAGCCGGCTTTAGCCAAGTCCAGACAGAACTCGCGACCGAAGCCGGACGATGCGCCGGTCACTAGCACCACCTTGTTTTCCAGCCGGCGCCACGGCTCCAATTCGCTCGCCACCTGGCTTCTCCCCTCCATTTTCTCTCTCTCACTCTCCTCTCTCTCTCTCTAAGAATAATGTTTGTACAGTTTTGAATTGTTTAAAATAGTTGGCGTGTGACGGAAATGCCCTTGCCAAAATGAAATAATTGCTCATACCAAATTACTAAAAAAGTATTAAATTATGACTTGAGAATAAGAAATTAAGTCATGGTTTAGTCAGATTACCTCATATGTATAAATGTAACGAATGTCGTAACATTGTAGCAAGTGAATTTGTGCTAATTGACCCGAGTTCGAGATCCTTATCAAAAGTCATTAGGTCGAGTTTGTCATACATGCGTGGTGAACCTACTCTGATTCACGAATAAAGATGGCATTCATTGATCATTCACTTTATTTTAAATAAATTTGCTTCGAATTCAAAGTCGATTGTCGTCTGAAAAATGACCATCTTGCCTCCGTTCATCAAATTTCTCTCGTTTATCAATAAAAATTGGTGTAATTTACTAAAACTTTCTGTCTCATTCAATAACCAAAGTGATAATCGATCGGATGTTGCATGTTCGGCTCTAATTGTTAAAACTTAAATAGAAAAATGTAGTACAATACATACAAATCGACCGTCTTTTAGATGCTAGATCTAATAAACTTCATCGGATGCGTGGTATATCACCATAAATTTATTCACACGTGTAAAATATGCACCGAACATATACAAACGTATAATTGAATATTACCCGATTAAATTCACCGAGTGTAGGATATGATAAACCCGAAACCGACGGTCCTTATTCGATCCAATAATTTGCCAAAACACACACACACACGCACACAAACACACACACTTAGAAAGGGACAAAAGCTCTCTATCATAACACACATAGAGTTAGAGAGAAGAAAAAATGGGGAAAGCTGGGAGAGTATAGCCGGAATCGACGATATGAAGATGTTGCCCGAAACATAGTTTGAAGAATCGTGAACTAAGTATCTGATGAGAGATGTCAGTGCCGGATCGGTTGTACCTAATGCTCTAAGTGGCACGGTTCTCTCCGTCACGTTTTTCAGCCATTTCTTTTCCAACAAAACTCCGGTTATCTCCGATTTAAAAATTCCCGGAGCGATGGCGTTCACCCTAATCTCGTACTCTCCCAATTCCAATGCCATTACCTGTTTGTTTGTTTGTTTGTTTGTTTGTTTGTTACTCCACCATTAAACTAAAGAAAATAACTTCATGTATCCGACATACAAGAATTTTAAACAGTACTAAATAAATGATTTTTTTTTTAATTTTATAAATAAAAATTAGGTCTTATCATATTTACTATCATAACCTTGGTCATGAGGTGGAGGCCAGCTTTCGAGGAACTGTATGCGATGGCTCCGGGGACCTGAATTCGATTTAGGCCGGAAATTGATGAGATGTTGATGATTGAGCCGCCACGGGCGGCGGCGCGCATCCGTTTGCCGACGAATTTGGCGACAAGCCAAGATCCGGTCAAGTTTGTTTTCACCACTTGATTCCATTCCTCCGACGGCAGATTCAGCGAAGACTTTACCGAACCTATAGATAGTTATTTCACACAAATTAAATGCACATAACAAAATTTAAAAAAAAATATCCAATATATATATATATATATATATATATATATATATATATATATATATATATATATATATATATATATATATATATATATAACTCTACTTTACCTCTAAAACCAGCATTATTAATCAAAGCATCAATATGCCCAAACGCATCCCAAGCTTTTCGAACACATTCTTCGATGGCCGTGGGATCAGCCGTGACATCAAGCTCCACCGCAATAGCTCGGCGGGCCCCACCGTTAATGGCATCGGAATATTCCATTTTGTTGTTATTGATTTGCTGACAAAGTGATTCGAGTTTCTCGATTCTACGTGCCGCAGCCACAATTCTGCAACCCGCCTTAGCCAAGTCGAGGCAGAATTCGAAACCTAGACCGGAAGATGCTCCGGTGACCATGACGGTTTTGCCCTCCAACCTACTCCATGGCTCGAGTATCATCGTTTCGTTTACGTACTAGGATGAGTTGTCCTTTGCTTTAATTCTCTCTCTCTCTCTCTCTCTCTCTCTCTCTCTCTCTCTCTCTCTCTCTCTCTCTCTCTCTCTCTCTCTCTTGTTGCGAAGCTTCGTACATTATATTAGCGTTAATTACAGCGGAAATAACGGCATTAATTAATTTATTAACTAACTATGAAGGTTAGTTAAAGTCAGTTATGATAATTAAGCTGAACATTCTATAACTTAAAGCTCACGTGTTGCAACGTACACAAACTGCATGCATGTACGTATTATTAGGTCAAATAATACTTATTGTGCATATATTGGAGCGAAATTTATCTAATACAATTAATATTTAATACCACTTTAATAAAATTGGGTTATAGTGAGAAATTAATTAAATTTAGGCTCTCCTCAAAATCTAATTAATGGGCTTTATCACTACAAGAAAAACTAGTTTCAGCGACCAAATTCTTAGCGACCATAAATAAATGGTCACTGAATGTTCACATTTAGTGACCAAAAGTAATTTTGTAGCAAAAGTGGGAAGGGTTAAATCTTTTTGCGACCAGCGAGCATTTGGTAGCTATATGTGGTCACTAATAGTTGGACATCTTGTAGCAACTAAAGTTAAAGTTTGTAGCGACAATTTTTATGGTCACTATAACTTAGTGTCAATAGTGACCAAGTTAACATCAATTTTTTTTACGGTTGCTACGAGTCTTTAATTTAATTATTAACAACCATTTAATTGGGTTGCTAGCAACTACTTGAATTTGGTTACTATGAAACTACTTACGGAAATCAAATGGATTTGGTCACTAGTTTAGTTTTTAAACAAATCAATGAAAGAAAAGAAAATAAAATAAAGATGGGGGCGAAAATGCAAATAATAAAAAAAATACAGCCATTTATAATTCTTTCGTTTCTTCATCACAGAATATTACTCCGTTCATTCTCTCCTTACGCTCTCTTTCTCCCTCTACCCATTCTCGCATAATATTACAGAAAATCAAGAAAAAATTCTCTTAATTTCTTCATTATGTTTGCACCAAAATCCCTCTTATCTTACCTCTTTTGTTTTCCCCAAAAATATTCGCCTATTTCACCCAATTTCTCCAAGCCCTAGTTCCTACCCCTGTTCGAGAATTCTCGAATTCATTCAGGAGATTCGGAAGATTTGATTACAGGAAAAGAATTGGGGATTTGAAAAGATAATTTCAGATTTGGGTTTTAAGGAAAAATAATAGTTTGGAGACCTTCGAGAATGAATCTCGTCGATCAGGACCCACCTTTGGAATAATTGTGGGTTCAAATGTACACCGGTGTTGGTGATTTCCAGCAGAGGTCGCCGATGGTGGCCGTTATCTGGTGTTCAACTTTTGGCTCTTCAAAGAATTAAATGAACGGAGGTGTTAACGGTGGAGTATTGATGATAGAAGGTACTGTTACAAACCTCGAGAAGTTAGCTTCCCATTAATGGTGGTGCTAGGCAGTTTTATTCGACGGTGGTCGCCGAAATTTGGTGTGAAATTCAGCATGCTCACCGGAAAGGGAAATAAAATCTGCTACGGCATCTGTTTTCGGAGCCAAAATCGAAGGGTTTGGAGTGTGAATTTGGGAATCATTCCATCTCGAAACTCGTAGAGGACCTCGAAAACTGTGAGTAAGTGTTTAATTATTTCCGATTTGAGCACGTGTTATAGCCTTTTAGGGGTCGGAATCAGACGACAACGAATCTGTCAAAAAACAGGGCAGTTTTTCCTAATCATCATGCGGAGCTGTTTTTGTTATGTTGGAATAATAATTTAGGCTATGTGTCTTCTGGTGTTTTGTATATTGAGTTGTGAGGTTTGATTTGGTATATTATTTGGTCGATTTGGATAACTCTACAAATTGTTATGATTATTCAAATAAACTGTGACAGCAAACAAGTTTGTCCAAAACAATTTTGGCAGTTTCATGTATTCAACTTTATGGGCTGTTATTGTTGTGTTATCTTAGTAATTAGGGGTTGGTATCTTCATCACAATTGTAGATAAAGTTGTGAACTTTTATTTGGTATATTGTTTTCCCAATTTGGATAAGCGTACGGCCTGCTACGATTTTTGGAAGAAAATGTGACAACAAATATCGTTGGCTTCTAGTTTACTGTCCATAGTTAGCATCTATATGTGTCATTAGTTATTTGAGTCATTAGTTATTTGAAATTTGTCTTATGCACATTGAGCAACAAGTTTAAAGTAATGTGATCGAAGGTGAAGTTTAAGAAACTAATGGATTCTTATTTCAGGTGTGTCATTCGTGGTTGTGTACCTAAGAAAATTTTGGTCTATGATGTTGCTTTTGGTGCTAACTCGAGGTGAGAAGACTTTGTTATTTGAGAAAGACTTTGTTAGTTATTTCTTCAAGTTATATAACCAAATTTAACCCGACAGCTATGTTGGCGAAATTATGAGAAATAGTAAACCTTCTGCCGCACCTGTTTTTGGAGTCGAAATCGAAGGGTTTGGAGTGAGATTTTCGAATCAGTCTCTTCACAAAACTCGTCGAGGACCGTGATAATTATATGTAAGTGTTAAATTGCTTCTAATTCGAGCAAGTTTTATAGCCTTTTAGAGATGAGAATTTGACGGCAGTGAGTCTGCCAAAAAAAGGGCAGTTTTGATGAATCATCTCCGTTGGGTTTTATTACCGTCTTAGGATAATAATTTGGGATATATTTCTTTCGTAAACTTTTAGATGAAGTTGTCAGCTTTGATTTGGTAAATTGTTTGGCCAATTTGGATAACTTTACAAATAGTTATGAATTTTACAATAAACTATACCAGAAAAGAATTTATCCGAAATTCTGGCAGTTTTCTGTAATCATCTTTTGGGCCTGTTTTGAATATGCTAGGATCATAATTTGTGATGAGAGTCTTCAGTGAACATGTAGGTGCAGTTGTTAGCTTTCATTTGGCATATTACGTTCCCAATTTGGATAATCGTACCAATTGTTATGATTTTTCAAAGAAATTCTGGAAACAAATGTTTTAAACCTTTGTTTCGAGAACTCGTCAAACAAACACGAGTCAACTCTTGGTTTCATGTTTCCTTATGATAAATTCATTGGACTTGGTTTCTCATAAACTTGAATCCCTGTTTTCATCTCTT